TTGGAGAGGGGAAAGTTCAGAGAGACCGCCACGAGAAAAGTAGTCGTGGGTGGGCTCATCCGCCATGCGATCGCCATTGAACGAAAGGTGGCTGTCGTCCACGGGGGTGCCGCAGATAATCATACTATCTTCGTGCAACTCGTTGAGACCTTCCGATAGCGCAGAAAAATGTGTGGTAGAGGGCTGTTGCTGTGCTTCTTTTTGTTCGGAAGCCCGCTCACGGACAGCGCTCGCGGTTTGTGTGAACTCCTTCTCATCACCTTCCAATGGAGGGGATGCAGCCCGGTTCGAGTGCATCAGCCGAGTGTGGTGATCTCCAAATTCGGTACTCGACCGGGAGGTGCTGGTGGAACCCGTGCGACCATCCAAGTCAATGTTTTCTTCGTCGAAGTCGGGGGAAGACAGGTCGACCTCGGGACTGGGGCTGAGGCGCGACCGCTCCCGCGCCAACGCGTCTTCCTCATCGAGGTCAATACTTGTCACGCTAGGCGTCATGTCCTTTCCTTCCACGCCAGGGATTATGACATCGTCCGAGTTCTCTGGGATGGCTTGACGGGGTGAAGTCGTCAAAAAGTAGAACACCTTGCGTGGGTGGATGGGGATCAATTCCTTGGCCACAGGACAAGGCGCCAGTGCAGTCCAGGGGCGTTTCATATACGCGCTTAGCCGTGAAGACAGGAGAGCAGCGGGGTTGGCAGAGCTGTTGGAGGCGCAATAATGTCAGAATTGCAAGACAAGACTGATGGTAGAATGACTGCGGGACTTACTTTGCGACGCTCTCGTTCAGCGCAATGAGAACAGCAGCCAATTCCTTGACCAGGTGAGGACGATTTCCCGTCTTCTCCAGCTGTTGAATGACGCCGACCACGATGTCATCGTTTATGCCTTCTGTGTCGATCTTGGGGGCGACCGTGCGGTCGGTGGGAGAGGGAGGTGGCGTGTGCTCCAAGGCGCTGCGCCGACCAGAGGAACGGACAGGTGTCGGATGGTCTTTGCTATCTGTAGCGCGCGTAGTGGTGGTTGAAGGCTCCGGCGATAACGAGGAATCGTGCGACCGTTTTACTTTCTTGGACGGAGGCAGCTGGTCGTCAGTCGCGTGCGGCGATTTCGAAGTGGACGGAGAGCGGCGGGACGAGTTCGGAAGGTGAATCCCCAAGGAGGGGAGCGACAATGATTTGCGACGGGTATTATAAGGCATGTTTTGTTTTTGGAATATAAATAGGATCTGAAGGGCGAGGAGGCGATGAAGTAATAGGATACAAGAGGAAGAAGGGAAGGATAAGCAACGCAGATAGTATACTAGTAAATCCGAGCACGGGTCGACGGAACAATACAGTATAGACAAGACAGGAGAGCACGGGGACTAAGAATCAGGAGAACGAGTCTAATAACACACAGAATCCAAGACACAAGACAAGGTTAGAATGGAGAAGTAGATAATGGAGATGGAGGGGGGCGAAATTCGGATGTTACAAAAAGAAGAGGAATGTATGATGAAAAAGGGGGGAAATAGGTGGTAGAATGAATAGTAAGGAAGAAAGATGGGATGATGGGATGGGATGGGGGGGAGGGAAAGGGTGGTGGTGGTGGTGGTGGGAGATGGTTAGTTTCCGGCTAGGGGAAGTGGATGGATGGATGGATGGAGGGAGGGAGGAGGGATGGAGGGCCGATGTATGATGAAGATGGCGGCACCGAGAAAAGGCAAGATGGAAAGTCGAAGGAATGGGAATGGAATAATCACCGGAAACTTCGTTGGCCAGTGAGGGACCACCTAACCGTCGGAAGAAGTAGAAAAGGGCCCAGTCTACTGTACGGTAACGGTAAAAGCCAGAAATGGCGAAGAAAAAATAAAGTAATAGAAAATCAAATAAGGCGGGCGGTAGGAAAAGAAAGAGGGCCTGAGGAATCCCACTTGGTTGTGGTGGTGGTGGTTGTGACTGACAACCACCATCTCTCTTCTCTTGTCAGTGCCAAATTCTTTTTTTTTTTCCCTTTCCGCACTTTACTTGTTCTCGAGCCGGCTGAAAATCAGCACGGGTGGATGTTTTAGGGTGACGGTTATTGGTCCGACCCGATGATGGAGCGTTTGATGGTCGTTTTAAGGAATGTCGGAAAGGAACTTTCTTCTTCCTGCTCCCCAAAAAAGATTACCGCCAGAGTCATCCATGATGAATAATTTGACTCAGACTGTGTTCAGAGGGGAAAAAAAAAAAGGTTTCCTATCCTAGCGTAGGCAGGAATGTACTGAGAACTGGGCGGATGATTGTTTTTGTTTACTCTCAGTGACTCCTTAAGAGCCTTCTTTTCCCGGCCAACAACATCCATTCCCCCACCTCCACCTCGAGACGCACTGGGGAAAGTCAGCAGGAATAGAGACAGACTATCTATTTTAGAGTCACAGCGATCCTACACCGCTTCCTTTACTGTTCTTAATGTATGAGTATTCAACCTGCGAAGGAGGGAGTCCGTGTGTCGCTGTGTGTGTGTGTCCGTGTGTCTGTGTGTCCGGACAACGAAAGGTCTCTCGCGCGCGCGCGCGCCCAGCAGCAGGTCCAAGACCACGACCCCAAGACCCGGACCAGACCAGACCCGACTAGACTAGAAAAGAAACAAGAACCCGGAAAGCCGCCAACCCGTAAGATTCATAATGAAGCAAGCCTGCAGGACCCGAACTAAACGCGGCCGACTGGCTGAAATTCCCATCTTCCGCGGAAGGGGCAAAAAAAAAAAAGTACCTACGGTGGGCCCCACCATGTGTCTATGACGACCAGAATGGATCCCTCCCACTATGATTGGTTGTAGAGACTCTGATCAACTGAGGTTCTGCAGGCATGGACTTCACTAGGATGGTCTCCAGGCACTCCAGCAGGGCGAATCGGGTTCCTACGTTTAAATTCTCAGGCATCCTGTCGGCTGTGAGAGAGCTGTCCTGTACGAAATCGAAAAGCAGAAACAAATGGGCTGCTGATGATTGTTACATAGTATAACAGAGCCATAAACAAACAACGCCCTGAATACAAATGAATAGAAGGTCTAACATAAAGGTAGATAGTGTCCGACTCGGCTAGCACCAAAGTTCCTTTGCCACGCCTCCGAGGTCTGCTTTCCTCACCGACATCATCATCGCACTTGATCTCATATCGGACCATTTTTTGGGGAAGTGCCCGAAGCTAGACTCGACTCACTTCACCCTTTACAAATCATCCTATCTAATGATGGTTAATACTGTCGTTGTGTGGAAATCATTCAACTGCTACAGGTTCACTACTCGATGCTGAGTGCACCCGTGTTCGGGTAGATGCATCATAGCTCTAACTGCATCCATGGAACATACCAGCGCAGCTCCGAAATCGACTTCTCTATTCTATGACTAAGTGGACGGACATGAAAGCCTTATGACCGGAGGCAATGCCAGAGCACGAGAAAACGGCAAGACACAAATGGCGGCACATTGAGAGTACTCAGTAGAGGCACCAAAACAGTGGATTGGAAAAAAAAGAGGACACACAGAAGGAAAGAGTAAGTAAAAAAAAAAAAAAAAAAAAAAGGGAGAGAAAGAAAAAGCCTTACACTAGTGCATAGTGCGATTAGCGTCGATTTTTGGCGCCAGTCTTGCCCTATTCCGCTCTAGTATTTACGACTTTATGCACCAAGCACAATATGCTAACGAATCACCAGCTGAGATGGGACTCCACTCAGCTCAAGAGAAAATCGTTCCTAGCGTCGCCGTTTAGAGCCATTCGCAAATCATGTTAGAGAGAGTGGGAACTCGAGTGAGCCGTCTAGAAGGTTGCCAAAATGCCCAATCGGACGGAATTGAGGCGACGCTAAACACCAGAGCGCTGGGACAGCCCTCCCTCGCCACTGATGACTCTGCAATGGGTGGTGATTGATGATGTCCGAGGCGAGAGTCCCGCCAGGAACTGATGTATCAGAATTCAGCAAGGGATTCATTCAACCTTGTGGTGGCTATCCGGCAGCTGGCTGTGCAGCCACTAATGCAGCGAGATCATGATTGGCAACGCGGCGCCCCGCGGCTTGAAGACATTCCAAACTTACTCATACATTCATAGTTCGTCCTTCGCCCCATTCATTATCCATCCCTGGCGGGAGGTCGTTGCCTGGGGGGCGGCAGTGGGATTGACATATGGGGGACGCACTCGTAATCCTATGCACATTTGTGCAACTTGTAGCATGCTTATGCATACATGCATGTATGCATGAACTGTACGGACTACGGAGTACTATTGCTCTCTCTATCTCCAGTTTCATCTGCATCGTCAAACAGATCCATATGCAAAAGCAAGAGAGGGACGCCGAGTCGGTTCCCGCCACCGACGTTGCATGCCCCTGGTGGGTTGGATGTGTCCAGACGGGGGGATGGATCTATCCCTCGGTCAGCCTCTCTCTCTCTCCACTGCACCCCACGGAGGCCACAAATGCAAATGCAGACATGCATCAGCCGTACATCATTAATCTTCTCTGTTCTGTCTCCATCGCCAAATCTGTAGGCGCGTATGATGCATCCTCTCTCTCATCTTTGTCTTCCAGTCCCACTCCATGCTCCTCACCCGATACCAATCGCCCGTACTGTACTAAGTATTCCATGACAGAACCAGGCCAACTCGGAAGTATGTCTCATTCTCGCAGTGATCAACAAAAACCCCCGCCATGGCATGATGTTGTATTCGTAGTGTAGATCTCGTGTGCAAAGTTCCGTCCTCGAAGAGACAGAACCCTAGGGCGTATCACATTACATGAGAGAACTGTTTGCAAATTCACCGGCGGCAGGGACAAAAACCGTTCAATACATGTAGGAATATCGTCAATAACTCCATCTCAATGCAGTCAGTCATCTTTGGTTAAGTTCTCGAAATCTCCGATCGATGACGATGGAGGTACATTAGGCTATGGGGCTATTTCTGCTCCCTCTCCGTAATCTGCTCGCAGTAGGGGAGCCCGCGGAGTACAAGGAACTAGTTGAAGTACCCCGCATCTTGCATAACGCCATTTTGACTTCATTGATCGGCTACCGAGAAAAAGCTTCCAACAACATTGGAATCCATGCGAACCTGTTTCTTTGCTTTTGGGGTAGGGGCGATGGAGAGAGTTATGAGTGAGTTTTCCTGGCAGTGCAATGGCTCGTATTCAGACATGAATGCTGCACATAGAGGTATGAAAATGTACAGTATACTGAGTATATCAGGTTTGACGTTGGCGCAGGAGGCTTACTCCGCATAATATGGAGAAACTATAGATTCCGCCCACAGATCAGTATGGGTCGCGCGCATGGGGTAAGATGCCGGGAGAATACTACCTAATCATAATAACCTGAGCTTGTTCATAATTCAAGATTCTATGCCGCACGCTAACTGGGATCAAGCAAGAGCGACTCTGGTACTACCACCAGCGACCTCATTCGTCTCTCAATGTTGATGCTGGGACGAACCTTGCCATAGACGATTCAATTGGTTTTAGCTGTGGCTGCTGCCGCGATCGAACCGGCATGTCATAAGACACTGTTTGCGTTTCCATTGGGAAACACTGTTTACTCATAGTTTGTCTTACTGTAGCAAGCACTCGGCTCTTGTTTTAGCAGAAAGAAAATTGCGTCTGATCCGAATTTACCAGATGAGAGCGTGGTGATGTTTGGCGTGGGTTATGCTAACCTCGAACCTTCGCAGCAAGGCCTTGAGGACGCTGCCTCTTGCGTTTAGTTCTCAGACAATACAACTGTGCTGATATAACACTGTCATATATGGTGCTGGGTAGTACATACTAATTGGAGTAGGAGCAAGCAATTGGATGAAAGTGAGGAAGTAGTAGATAACTCGATCTAATATTGTAGTAGCAACGGAAAAAAGCTACGGTGCCTGAGTAGTCACGGGTTATATAGATAGACGGATAGAACCCAAGCATTGACAACTGAATGAATTCAGGATTCAGACACAAGAAGACCGGATCTTCAAGATTGCACGTTCGAGGACGAATATGACGGTAGAAGCCATCTTACTCTTGCCAGATCTCTAATACAGAACAGAATAGATAATAGCTTGATGCATTGGTGCATCTCGATGGACGGGGAAAGGAGCCGCGGGCGGGCCGCAAGCCCGCAAGCCCGCAAGCCCGCAAGATCCGCGCTTCTTCCATCGATGCCTCTCGCGGAACCACTTCAATCCCGCTCCTGCCGCTCGCCATGTCGGAGTCCGGGGATCAGCTCAAGCGCAAACGTGCCCGGGTCGCTTGCGAGCCATGTCGGCAGAGAAAAAGGAAATGCAATGGAGCGACCCCCTGCGCAACCTGCACTGACTGGGGCTATAACTGCCACTATACAGATCAAACGCCCCGGAAACGTCGTCTATCGCAGCCGTCTTCCGCTGCGACGGCAGCGAAGCCATCCTCTCCCGCCGCCGCCGCAGCAGTGGGAGGAGAGTCCCTCCGCTCGCCCGATGAAGCCGTCACTCAATCCCATCACCATCAAGGCATAGCCCGCAGTCTCGAAGCGAATTCCGCCGCCGCGTTTGTACGCAAGATGGGCCTCAAGGTTGATCCCGCCCAGGCGCCGAAACTGGCCCTGTTCGGATGGAACATCGGCGCACGGCAGTTACCCTCCGGAACGGGGGCGATCTCCGCCCGACCCATTGTCGATGTCATCTCGGTGGCCGATATGAAGCAGCTGGCCGAGGTCTACTTCACCAAGATCGATCCGTGCTACGGCTTCATCGACCGGCGCGTCTTCAACAACCGCCTCGAGACCCGATGGCAGACCCCGCTGTCCAGCGGTTCCATCTATGACAGCATCCTCGCCGGAGTCGCGGCGCTGGGCTCGCTCTTCTCCTACCGGAGCATGACCATTACGGAGCTGCACCTCGTCGAAGCCGCCCGGTCGATCCTGGACGGCCACGACGGGTCCGGCCCCCCGTCCCTCGAGCTGGTGACGGGCTGGGCGCTCCGCGTGGTCTACATGCGCATGACGGCGGCGCCGCACGCCACCTGGATCGCCAGTTCGACGCTGATGCACCTCATCGAGGCGGCCGGTCTGCACCTGGAACCTTCTTCTTCTTCTTCTGCAACTTCGCACGACACCGTCCCGTTGCGCGCTCCGGCCACGACGCCGCCCCACGACCGGGAGATCAGCCGTCGCCTCGTGGGCGTCGCGCACCACCTCAACATCTGGACCTCCTTCGACCTCGGCCTATCCCGCGTCGCCTTCCGCACGGGACTGCCGCTGCCGGCCTCGCCCACGAACCCAGGCGACTACACACCCGAGGTGCTCAACCTCCTCCCGGCCTCCGCATGCCTCGACCCGGAGAACTCGCAAACAGACAGCGACCTCGAACCGACCCTCACCAAAGTCCTGCAGGGCACGCACACCCAACCCCCATCTGTGATGGCCCAGACCAACCTCGTCCTCTGCATCCTGCGCCGGCTCCGCATTCTGAACCTCTCCATCACCCCGCAGGTCACGGACCAGGTCCTCGTCCTCTTCGGCCAGGCCCTGTCGTACGCGCGCACCATGGTCACGGACGGCAGCCCCTGGCACCAGGTCGCCAACGTGCCGATGCAGATCCTCTATGTCCTGCTGGAGATGGACACGCGCGCGTCGCTGGCGATGCTGCCCGCCGCGATGCAGACGGTGACGCTGGTGGCGACCACGTACGATACCGCCACCATGCGCGAGGCGTACAGCACCGCGCGCTTGCTGGTGTCGCTGTACCAGCAGCGTCGTTCGGAGGACACGAGGGTGTTGGCCGATGTGCTGAATCTGGCTCCCGAGGCAGGGGAGACCGTGACCGAGCCATTCAGCCCGAGGGTCGACGAGTTATCTTGGTTAGAGGGCTTGGTCGCAGAGATGCCTAGTCTACAAGGCCTAGAGCTAGAGCCCTGGCTCCAAGGAGATGTACTTGCCGGAGGTGAAGGGTGGGAGTAACACAGATTGAATTGGCCCGCCCGCAGAATGAGAGCAGTGAAGGAACGACAGCAGCAGCAGCCGTCACCTAGTAGGTGAATTGCGCTTTCGCCAGAGTAACAGTAACACACCAAGAGATGGGTGTTTCTACACCTCATGGAGAGCCCTTCTGCTGCTCCTCCACCTCCACCTCCCCTTCTCCAACATCGACAGAACAATGTCCGGGCGACTGGTTACGCCCAAGAAAAAGAAAGGCTTCACTCCTTCTATCCCGCTTCTGTCTACAGATCGTCGGCCGGTCCGGTAAGAACCTCCTCAGTCAAGCCTCCCAAAAACATACCTTTTCCCGGTAGTGATGCTGACCTGACCAGATAGTCTAATACGCTAATCTCGCCTGGAGCGTAGCGCGCGGGCCTCTCTCCTTAGAGTAGAGTACTATCCTTGTTTTGTCTGGCAGGTAAGCCGGTTCATGATTGCGGGACTAAGAGGAGGATAAACTCACGATTTGCCCTCTATCACTAGCCAAGCTTTATCCGGACAGAATGTCGGCTCGCTCGGGAATGGAAGGGTTTTGCAAAGTGTGCCTTCACGCAAACAACGAACACTACACTGCGCCCTGCCCTGCCACTGGCTGCCTGAACAGATGGAAGGAATGCACTGCCAGTAACTGCTTGAGAGAGCGTCCTAAGGGCTCCAAGGCTTCGAAGGGTTCTAAGGCTCTACCATACAGGGTGTGCTTTGGATGCAAGGACCACCCGGCATGCAGGGAGAATCTCGATTTCAGCGGCGACCAGGTTGATGTCCCAGAGAAGCAGAATGAGGACTACGCCGCGACTGGGACTGCGGGGGGCCAAGATGCTGAAGGTAATTGGACTCGTTGATCTAGTTCTCTGGACTTCTACAAGGCAACTCAAATGCATTGCTGAGACATACCCGCATATTGCGGCGATATTGATGTATTTCATTTCATACATACTGAGCAAGGCCATTTCACATTGTCATGAATCAAGCTTCTAGCAGCCATCGTGCTCTACCGCATCTCTCCATTTCAAGATTTTCTCTAGATCAAGCTCCTTGTGCTCGGGCTCAGAAACCGGGAAGTCGTTGTTGTTCCAGGGGTCTTTGATCCAAGGATGTATCTGCATACAACGGATAGCATCAACGTCACCCGCCCCATCGTCAAGCCATATGGCACCCTCATGATGTCTTTGCCAACAGAAGAGTCTTCGTGTTCCATTGCCCGATTGTCCTTCAGCCAAACTTCTTAGAGGATGAGGCAGCCTGGATTGTCAGCACATACTAAAAGTTGATCGTTGTCATGGGCTTACTCGTCAGAATTTCCTGCACAACCAAAGTAGTTCATAGTATGAACCTCCGAACTTTCGAAGTCATGCTTGCTGCTCGCAGGGATTCTTTGCTCAGACTCTAGTATCCAGTATATCTGCCAAGAGCGAGGTCTATGCATGTGTGGCAGATGCTCCCTCGCTTCGAGGCTTAGATTTGTGACTGGAGTTGAGCCAAACGGCGGTGCTGGGGACCATGGCCATGGCAGTGAACTAGTGTTGGACAAACAGAAGTGCGAGGTCTGAAATTCATCCACCCGAGTGCTCAAAAGCTCCTTGGAGGAGGCTGAACGGTAGTTCATCTGAAGGAACGATTGGTATGTATTTGTCCAGTACGCGGCAGGCAGACAAAGAATCGGTATCCCGCTCAGCGACCACCTCAGCAGGGGCATCACCTGGTTGGTGTAGATTGCTGCTGCCCAAAAAAGACCCAGATATGGTTTCACATACATGATCGCGTTGAGGAGCTGCTGTTTGTCAATCTTGTCAATAAAAGGGCGTAAGTCATCACATGGCTTGTGCTCTGTGTGCAGCTGCCGCTTGCTCATCGTATCGGTTGGCGAAAGAGCTTCAATTATGCCTAAAGAACCGGCCCCTAAGAGATTGCAGGGCACGCTAGGGTCAAAGAACACACTGCAACTCAGTGAGTCGATAGCCTCTCCTGTTGTGCTGAGAAACATGCATTGATCGATTGATCGGAACAGCTTTTCGTAAATCGTGTTCTTGCAAACTGGGCCAGGGCTCAAAGACATGGCTGGGATCCTCACAGGAGGAGGAAACTTGGGTCGAGATATCGTCCATGGTTCTAGATTCAGGATCGAAGTAAGACCAATGAGTAACTCTCCTTCGAGGCTTTCGAATTTGCAAAATTCGACAAGGGCACCAAAAGCAAGGGCCGAATCTGAAGCGACCGGCTCCCATTCATCTCTGACAAGCAAGTTAGCGGGCAGATATGAAGAACAGCTCCGGCAATAGACATACTGGGGGTAAGTGATGTCAGACAATCTCAGCATCCACGGAGAGTAGAGTTGTTCTTCCTCATCTTCGGGGTCACTGCATCGAGCTTCCCAATGACCCTGCAGAACAATGTCCCAGAAAGACTTTTCAAGCTGCAAGCCTTTTGCATGAAACATGTGGCACTCCAACCCAGCTTGCTGTAGAATCTCCACCCAGCGGACAGAAAGGATATAAGACCAAGCTAGGGCGATGCTCGTGAAGTACCCGGCACGAAGAGGGCTGGCAGTAGCGGGAATCGTAACTTCTGTTGGCATCTCCGTAGCAGTACAGCATGTGATAGGCCGTGGCTTTGCGACGAAGTGACGATACTTGAGTGACATACGAGGTTGATCGCAGGAGGGATCCTCCGTCGAGTCGATGCATATCTCTGATTCGATAAGACAGTCTCCCACATTTCTCACCACCTCTTCTGGAGGAGAATGAAAAAATGGAGGAACTTCCTTGAGCAGGTCTAAGAAGGATTGTATGTAGAAATCTAACGAGTCAGAGCCCCGAATATGCGCAGTGGCCGCATGTTTCCACTGAGCAAGCTTGGATCGATAGCACAGATTGAACTGCGATGTTGTTGGACAGATTCCATCACCAGGAGAAACTCCAGAGCTATTGTGCAAAGAGCCTGAGGGTTTTACACTTTTTTGAGTGGCCGGGGTTGTAACTCCTTCGTCAGCGGTCGGTAGATGCTTGGAGACGTGCAGTGAATCGACGCCAATACTGAGTGGCGATGGTGGGCTGCTGTGAGATAAATCTGATGCTTTATCATTATCATGAGATGTATGGGTCGAATCTTCATTTTCCATGACTGAGGCCATGTTGGAGATGTGTCGCGGAGGGTAAGTTATAGGTTGAAGAGAGTATACAAAGTAGAATCGGCTTCAGAGGCGAACAAGAAAGCAGTTTGTAGAGGAAGACAAGTGCTGGGCCCAGATTGCTGGTGTATCTAGTGCTGAGAAACTCGCTAGAGCTTCTCCTTTTCTTCTGAGTGAAGTGAGGAAATGTAGAGATGTGGATGGGTGGGAAATTGGTGGCTGCTTCTTAATCGGGTACTCGACGCGACGGGCATGGGGCGTCAGGTGATCAGAGCATGTTGATACAATTCAATTTTTTTCTACTACTTCGAGGCAATCCAGTATTTGTCACATGATGTGGTTTCCTTGATTTGAACTAAACACTTGGTTTGTTATGAGATCCTATTACTAGAAGCCACGGACTCATCCCGACCAACTATTCATGTCCATCCGCCGGCCAGATCTGGCCGTTATTGGTCTTTACCACACTGAATTTCCCAGCCTTACGATCTGCGATTATCAACTCTTTGGGCTTGATAAACAATGGTTCGACGATATCATGGTACTCATCGAGGTACGGTCTTTTCATCGCCACCTGCTCCCATATCAGCAGAAGAGATCCAAGCCGAAGAGAGCTATCTTTGGAAGGAAACAGAAGCCGTACATTCACCACCCATTCCTTTGATGCGTTCCTAGAGTACCATCAATTAGCAACGGCTGACAATAAGCATGATAGATAGTTAGGACGAGATCACCAATTCTTGAGCACCAAAATTTCTCCCTTGTTTTCCTGCGACTGATACACTTCGAAGAGCGTGCATTCGGGCTCGCGGGCAATCTTGTAAAAGACGGCCCCGAGGGCTTCGAAGTATTTCGCAACATCCTTCTCCGCCACCCAGATGCGCACCTGGAGTGACATAAGATCAGAAGACTCCGACATGGTGAGGGCTTGTGAGTATCGGTCTTGAAAGGTAGCTTCAGAGCAGTCTGAGTCTGGTCTCCAACAACGGAATCATGTGGGCTTTATATAATCCCTCGAGACCCAGATCTGAGCCTTGCGGCTAATAAGTGTAATCCCCCATAGTGAGAGTTACACCTTCTCAGCATTGGGTTGCTCGACTCGAGTGTCGAGCCGTCTTTCCGCGATGTGGTGCTACTTCTTAGAACTCACTACGCAGGCATCCTAGATACTGGCCAACTGTCCCTGACTCGAGAGTCCCACAGAAAAGATCCAATAGGGATCTCCACCGCGGACTGTAAGGGCCCATCCTGCTTTTGCAAGTGACACAGAGCACACCTCGTGGGTGTAGCCTATGGAGGAAGCACTTTACTCTGTCACCAGATTGTCATCTGAGCTATGATCGATGGGTCACCCGACAGGTTCGAGAACATCGCATGAAGTGGGTCTTCCAACAGCTGGCTGTAGACAGCACACTTGCATCCGTGAAGAAGTCAAAAACCGACAAAAAAGATTGCCAAGCTACCAGTATATCAGTTGGACAGCCTTCTTTGGATCATTTTACCGGAGCATCTCATCTTGGACTACTCAACAGAACACTGAAACTGTAATGACTGTTACCAGAACGGAGAGATGTGGTTGTACCAACTTAAGTCAAGTCAAACATTCAGTTGGAGAATCAAACCGTTCCTGGCAATCACATGCGTTCGGGCAACTATGAAAGTGACACCCAAGGTTAATTCCGAAAGAGGTTAGACCATTCCCCGCAGCAACCGAAGCTTCTCCCCCCACCAAACTCACACGCCGCCCGCCGGCCCGGTCTCGTCGCCGGTGAGTAACAACTTCACCACCCCCTCACCATCACCACTACTACCCTACATCTCAATCCCTTTATTCCTCTCTTCCCTCCGAAGTTTCACAGATACCCCAATCATACCTCCAACCCCGACAACCAAACCAACCACGATGCCCTCCCTCAAAGAAAGCACCATCGCCTTCATTGGCGGCGGCAACATGGCCTCGGCGATCATCAAGGGCCTGGTCGCGCAGAACATCGAGAAGCAGAAGATCATCGTCGCCGAACCGTGGGAGGTCAACCGCTCCAAGATGGACGCCATTGGCGTGCGCACCACGACTGACAACGTCGCCGCCGGCGGGGACGCCGACATCGTAATCATCGCCGTCAAGCCGCAGATCACCAAGACCGTGTGCCAGGAGCTGGCCGCCTCGTGGGCCCAGCGCTCCGCGCTCCCCATCGTCGTCAGCATCGCCGCCGGCATCACGATGAAGAGCCTGCGCGAGTGGGTCCAGACGAGCGACGGCCGCTCCGCGCACATCGTGCGCGTCATGCCCAACACCCCCGCCTTGGTGAACGAGGGCGCCTCGGGGCTGGTTGCCAGTGAGGACGTCACGGCGCAGGAGAAGGAGGTCATCAACGAGCTTCTGGGCAGTGTGAGCAAGGCGACGGAGTGGGTGGATCGCGAGGAGCTATTGGACGTTGTCACCGGGTTGTCTGGTATGGTTTTCCCCACCCCTTCCAAAATTCCTCCCGAAGGGCTCCCTGCTGAACAGAGTCGAAATTCAGGATCCGGCCCGGCCTATTTCTTCGCCATGGTCGAGCATCTGGTGGCAAGCGCGACGGCTCTGGGACTGTCCAAGGAGCAGGCGACCCGTCTGGCGGCGCAGACGTGCCTGGGTGCCGGCAAGATGCTGGTGGAGTCGGATGAGGAGCCCGCGCAGCTGCGCAAGAACGTCACCAGCCCCAACGGCACGACGCACGCGGCCCTGCAGACCTTCGAGGCGCTGAACTTCAAGGAGATCGTCGACAAGGCCGTGCAGTCCGCTACGGCACGGGCGGAGGAGTTGGGCAAGACCCTCGGTTAAATATGATCTTCGTGAAGTACAAAAATGACATAGAGTTTATGATTCGAACTTTTCTTCCATTCAGCTACAAACTCTTCTCTGAAGAAACTTAGTGCTTTGAAAACTGGCGTGGTAGCGTCAACAAAGAGCACTTAGACGAGACTCCGAAACAACACAACCTCTCGACACCCACTTGCTGTACCACTACCGGTGAAAAGCTGCTTTATTCACAAAATTACAATTCAATTCCAAGATAATCCAAACAAAAATCTTTTAGCTGACATGTAGTAGACCGAGCATTACAATACATCATTATGGAAGATACATTAGAGCGGAGCGCCATTTGGACTCTCCGTCAACACTTAGGTATGGCAGGAAAGAGAAGGCGCTGGCTGTGGAAAGGGTACAAGGGCACACGAACCGAGAACCGGGCAGTCCCTCAAGCGGCGTGCATGGCACCGTGCTTGCAGTATGTGCCCGCAGCGACGGATCCCATGTGCACCGGACGGCCGTGGGCACACAGGGCCCAGCTCTTGCCGTCCTCGTCACAGATGATGGTGTTGTCCACGCAAGCGCCGCCGTGGGTGTTACTGTGGGCGGCACCGTGAGCGGCACCGTGCACGTTTCCATGGGAGGAGCTACCGCTACCGCCACCACTACCGCCAGGGGCAGCGCGGTCGGACTCGGCCTCTGCGGGGGCAGGGGCAGCAGGGGCAGTGGGGAGGAGCACGGTGTGCTCGGTGTTGGAACCAAAGGCGGATGCCACCTTAGAGGCCGACGAGTGGGAAGAAGAGGAAGAGGAAGAGGAAGAGGAAGAGGATGGCGATGCATACCCCGCCGCCGAGGACGTCAATGCGTTGTGGGAGGAGGAAGAGGAAGACGCAGGGGACGAGGCGGCGGAGTTGGAGCCGTGGGAGCCGCCCAGGAAATCCGCCGAGCCGGTGCAGGTGTAACCGGTGCCGGAGCCGCTACCCTCCACAGACGAGCCGGGCATGGGGAAGTTGACATCCTGGCCTTCCGTGGTCGTGCAGCCGCCCGGTCCGTTGATGTTGGCGATGAACATGGGCGGGGCGCTGCTGTAGCTGGCAACGGCCCCAGCGACCTCCTGCTGCGCGACGTCCCGCTTCTTGGAGCCACCGATGGTGACCTGGGCGCAGTTCATGTACATCTCGCGGTTGCCGACCTTGTTGAACCACGACCACGCCAGGAGCGCCTGCCCGCCGGGAGCGTCCGAGGGGATCGAGAACTGGTACTTGGAGGTGAGGGGGCATCCGCCGATCATCGAGTGGATCACCTTGAACGACTTGCCCTGGTCGTAGGACAGGGAGATTTGGCAGGACCCTCCCTCGTGCGTGGCACTGCCCTGCAGTTCCAGGCTGTATGAACCACCCGGGGAGTAGTTGGCCACCGACGAGAACGGGTCATTCGCGTATCCCTTGCACGGGAAGTCGTGGCCGTCACTGGACAGAGGATTGGTGTACGAGTAGTCCTTGTTGTCACCGCCGTTGGGGTTGAGGGGACTGCGGATGGGGTACGGGTTGGACATCTGGATGTGGGCCGACACCGACGAGGCCAGAAGGCCGCAGAGAAGGGCAACACTCTTCATCTTGAGGTATATGGGAACGCGTGGTTGTCTCTGACACGAAAGGGAGCCGACTAAGCTGGGGTAATCGACTTGGTTAGTCGTGGGTTCTTCATGTCAAGGGTCTTCAACCTTGTGAAGGTTCGGGGTTATAACACTTACACTGCTTGTATCCACAGTCAGACAGATATGCCACAATTGCGCCGATGTTCACTGAGGTAGACAACGGCTCGTCTGCTCGTGTAGCGTTTTCAAGAGATACCCTGGGCTGCGCACGAAGGAGAAGGCACAGACGTCTCAACAGCAAGAGATAAAGGGAACCAGTTCCTATAAATAATATGAATAGCAAGTGGCATGCCTGACAAGCTTATTCCAGGTCTCCGACTGGGTCCCTGGAGGAATGGTGGATGTCCTGTTGCAACGGAATGCAGGTCCGCGTAGGCTTGACAACAAAAGAGCCATCGGCATTCCGTGCCACCTGCTCGACCGAGTTTGCTGTCCGATGAGCCCGCTTCGTCTCGATCTTGCTGAGACTCTCTGGGCTTACCTGTCAAGATATTGAAATGTCAGTTCAAGGCTTCTAACTAATCTCCAATGTTGCTATAGCTCGCTCATAGCCATGACAAAGGCCGGACCCGGGCGTCAGTCGTGCGTATATGTAATATAGAGTCTCAACCAGGAAAGTAAGCAACCAATAACAAATGCATCGTACCGAAGCTAAATCTCTGATCGCCAGGTACAGTCTTGTCGGTAGCCTGAGCCACGGCTTTGAAGCACAGATGGTGCATCAACGGCCGCCCCAACGGTCGATCACCCTAGCTGCCTTGAGCAGCAAGTATTTAGACAGGCATCCACCCCCCAATCTCGAAACTTATTTTTGCCTCCCTCTTGCATCATAGTTCTGCCCTATCGGCCATGGTATTGGCTCCTTCTTTCGGCCGCAATGTCTCGCATCACGAGAATACTAACCACTGCGCCTTGGATTCCGCCCCCGAATGTTTTAGACCAAGTCCTCTGATCCAGGGTTTCAAGGTTCTCTCACTGGATACTTTGGCAAAAGGAGCCCCTGTCCAGCCAGTGAAGGAGGAAGCAAAACTATTCGTGCCCGTCCAACATGCCAAACGTTCCCAGGGCAGACAGGGGGGCTGGGAATCTGGCTGAGCCGCGGGAGGTTTGCCACCCCCTACGGGGACGGGCGAGTCAAGAAACAGACAAGCCAGATGTTACTCGTAATAATGTATAGACTTAGGATCGGAGACTTTCATGAAGATCTGCAGCCCTTTCCGTTCCGCGCGCACTGGCCCCTGCAGGCACGTCTCAAGGCCAGGAGAACTTGCTGTCCAAGGCATTCTTCGTCTGCCGCTGCTTCAGCGTCCGTGACGACATCAGTTTCATGTTGATGTTGCGCTGTTGCTTTCTACTCCGTGTCAAGAGGTTTCGGCGGGCTATGTTTTCCTCATCAAATTCGCGCAGATCATAGCGCTTTGGCCGAACGATGTCCGTGGTGTCCGTGGTGTCCGTGAGGTTTCAGAAACATGGGTAAAAGGGCGCAAGGGGCTTCCCTCTTGGAGCGGGTATTTGATACGGTTCTCGGTACTTTTGGGCCAGAGGCTGTGAGTTGAGCAAGCCATGCTCAATTTCTGGAGAAGCGCAAGAATTTCCCGCTCTGCTAATGCACCATACTTCTGTGAAATACGCATGTCAGAGTGATTGGACTGGCGAGACGAGACCTGAGCTTCCAGGCAATGGTCTGCTTTAGACGTTCAGCTTCGAGATAGCTTCAGCGAAGTAGTCAGAGACCCGGGGCCTAGTAGAAGCAGTAGATAGCAAAGAGAAGCTTATACACAAGAGAAATTCGATCGAGAAACCGAAGCTCGGATAGACTATTTGCGTAGTATATCCAGCCCAAAGCTTGACGAAGCGATCCACGCACCAGCACTAATCCTAATCCGGTAAGTAGATCGCAGGGCCCCGGTTTCTGTTTGCACCCCAAGCAAACAACAGCTTCCGATGATGAATGAATTGGCGTCACAATCCAATCCAAGCCAAGCTTGCCCGAATCATACGAACTACAACCCAACAGAGACCTTTCTCAACAGAACACCCAAAGACAAAGGAGAATCATCATCATGTCCGAAGGCGGAGGCTGGAGCACCATTGAATCCGACGAGGTAAAGCAATCATCCTTCACCGCGAAGCCGCAAACTACAATCTAACCGCCCGCACCGCAAATGCAAATAGGGCGTCTTCACCTCTCTGATCGAGAACCTCGGCGTCAAAGACGTGCAATTCGAAGAACTGATCTCCCTAGATGCCGACACGATCCGCTCATTAAGGTACTCCCCTTCACCCACTGCCAACCATCCATCTCACTAACCAACCAAACCACCACCACGCAGCCCCGTCTACGGCGTAATCTTCCTCTTCAAATGGATCCGCGACCACCCCCCGTCCACATCCACAAGTACAACAACAACAACACAACAGCAACCCCCGGCAGGAACCCACGACGCCAACCCGCCACCGACGCTCTTCTTTGCGAACCAAACCATCCAAAACGCCTGCGGCACGCAAGCCATCCTCTCCGTGATCCTCAACCACGACACCGCCCCCCCCTCACCCTCCTCCCAACTACCAAAAATCGACATCGGACCGGAACTCCGCGCCTTCAAGGATTTCACCACAGGCTTCCCCCCGGATCTCCTGGGCGAGGCGCTGTCGAACAGCGAGCCGATCCGCACCGCGCACAACGCCTTCGCGCGGTCCTCGCCCTTCGTCGACGAGACCCAGCGCGCCCAGCAGGATGAGGAGGGCGGGGACGTCTATCACTTCATCGCGTACACGCCCGTCGCCGGCCGGCTGTATGAGCTGGACGGCCTGCAGCCGCATCCCATCGTCCACGGGGACTGTACCCCCGAGGGCTTTCCCGAGAAGGTCATCGAGGTGATCCAGCAGCGCATCGCCCGGTACCCCGAGGGCGAGACGCGGTTCAACCTCATGGCCGTGTGCCGGGATCTGCGCGTCCAGGCCCGCGAGTTCGGCGACGCCGAGGCGCTGGAGACCGAGGAGCGCAAGCGGAGGGCCTGGGCGTGGGAGAATACCCTGCGCAAGTCGAATTTCGTCGGCTTCATCGGGGAGGTCATGAAGGGGGTGGCCGGCATGAAGGAGCAAGAGGGCAAATTCGACGAGTGGGTCGAGGGGGCCAAGAAGGAGACCCAGAGGAAGTTGATGCGGAAGTGATTTCCCCGCCCTCTCTCTGTACTATGGCTAGCAGAAGGTTGCCTGTGGCTCCTTTGGATGATGAACTCAATTTAGAATCAGTGATGTGATGATACTCCTGGCTATGTAGGTATGATGTATGTATGTACAGTACCAAGACAAACATATGGCAGAAGAGAAGACCGCTTCGTCATTCATGTCCGACCAGTTTCCGTCCTTATCGTGTGTGGTCATCAGAGGCCACCTAGTACTTGGTGATCCGTGACTTGATTTGTTCGACCATTGGCGCCGGCAATTCATCCTCTTGTACAAATCCCATCGACAAGAGGTCAGACCAGAAGAACATGGCGCGGTCTTGCGCATATGCGAGGTAGTCGAATTCGTCAGACTCATCGACATCCGCGTCCACCGGGGGAGTCGAGGTAGGCACATTAGTAGTCGTCTCTACGTGCGCGCGGTTGCCATTCGCGGTATCACCTTGACCATTGGATGCTATGGCGTCCGCATTGATACCTTCTTCCATGCCTGGAACCTTCGCTTGGACAATTCCCCAAGCCACCCACTGAGCGGACGTGATCACGCGCCAGAGCTTTGTCTGCGTCATTAGGGCCTGAATCTTGGCTTCTATACCGTCCGCATGAGATCTCTCGATATCCACACTAGCCATCACATCCAAATCTGGACCGGCATCGAGACTCAGCGGCGCAAGAGAAGTCGAATTGGAAGTACCTGCCCGCATCAGTGGCGTGATGGACGGCGAGGCCTGCTCGCGCAATCCCGGCCGATGGCTGAGGTAAGCACTGATGAACTGACGTTGCTGTGCCGGAGTTGGGTATTCCGTATTATTGCACGCCCAAGGTCTTTCCGCGTCGTGATAGTTGTAGCACCATTCAGACTGTCAATGTGGGTTAGTGATGAATTGGCAGAAAGCTCTAGGAAGTACTCACGAAGTGGTTCGCGAATTCAAAACCGGGCGTGTTCGCCGAAGCATATTCGAAATCGATCACAACGAGCTGCTTATGCTTGTTCTCAGGACGAAGCAGGGGCGACTCTTGACTTGGCTCCATTCTCAGCAGATTGCCATATTGTGTCTCGACACCCAGTCAGCATTTTATCCATAAAAGGTGGAAGCAGCAGACTTACATCGTTGTGCGCAAAGACCAGTTGCTGTTTCAGGGCATTACTTCCACCGCAACTGGAGATGAGCCACTTGCGATAATTGTCGACTGCCCTTCTGAATACCGGCCAGGGAACACCGCAAACAAAGCCTCGCCGACGCCATGGCTCTGAGATCGACTTGCTTGCGCTGTGCTCAGATTGTATCTCCTTGTCCAGCCAGTTGATGACCTGCTCGCAACGGTCGACCCATTTGTCCCAGTTCTTGAATACCATCGGCCCTCCTTCCCTCTCTTCTGGGAGCAATTCAACCCCGTCATGAAGTTCTCTCATCCGTTTGGCAATCTGCTTCATAGTGAGAGGATCCCGAAGCTCGCAGGGTGTCAAAGGACGGGCTTCGAAATACTCCTCAAAACGTCCATTCTGAAAGGTACCTAGCACTTTGGGGCCGATGTTCTTACGGCCTAGGCGCCGAAGAATCTGTAACTCATTTTCTCGATCAATCAAGTGATCCACCTGCGGGCCATAGATGCGCAACAGAAGCTTCCTGCAGGGGATTAGATCACCTCTTATGACTTTCATCTGACTTGGGAAAGGAGGCACTTACGGAGGAGGCTTTCTCGCAACCAAAGAATAAGAACCATCCTCGGCCTTCGGGACCGGAATGTGTTGTGGCGGATTCACCACATACACCGCATTTGTCAGAGCACCGCTGAGTCGAATGACCTCAATGTCGGCGGCGAGATCCATGGGTAGCTTTCGCCATCCCTTGAACTGCAAGGTGTGCGCGATGCGGAGTATCTCAGTCTTGAAAGCCATCCAGGCTTCTCTGTCTTTGGCGCAACGGACACTGGCACCTTGTTCGCTGTCGTCATCGTCTGCGCCGCCTCCGCTGTAGGCTAGGGTCTTAGAGTTGTCCAGCACCGCATCCACACTAGGAGCCGCGACGTCGAGATCCGAAAAGTCCGACTCGGAAGCCGATCCTCTTCGTAGTCCTCTAGATCGATGGCGTCGAAGTCGCCGCACAGCACCGTTGTCCTGTCGCGAAGCAGCGTACTGAAGCAAGATTTTCTCGAGCTTGTCGAGAGCCATAGGAATCTGTGTGCTGGAAGACGACCTCTCCTCTACTGACATGTCGGTGCTATTGCTGCCTGCAACTTGGCCAGCACTTGCTGCGTCATCCGGAACGCCAGAACCTAGTGAGCGATGAGAACCGCGCTTAGATCTCTCATGTTGAAGCCATTCATACACCTGGCTGTAAAGACTATTCTGCGAATCTTCCTCGCTGTACTTCATACTGGGGTCCTTTTCGTCGCGTATGGCAGATTCAGTCAAATTGCTGGAACTCTGGCTACTGAGAGAGGTCGGTGGATGGATTGGCGGTCGAGCTGTTGCTTTCTTGGGCACCGGGGCCCGGTGGTGCTTAGGAATATTTGTTTCCGACGAAGTCGCAGAGTCCGAGTGGCCGGTCGTCTGACGACGTCTTTGGAAAGCCACATTTAGACCGGTTCCCATGATCGGTTGGGGCCCTTGACAATTGGTCAGAATCCAGCAACATCAAGTGACAGCACAACGAAAACAACGAATGTGCCAAGGGACGTTGAGCTTAAGACGGTCGAAAGCACGGTAAAAGTCGCAGTGGGCTATACATAGATCTGGTCCAGAAACAAAGCTTCCAGGAACCTACAGCTACAGGAGAGGCACAAACCGGAGAAAGGACAGGGCATGGAGCGGAATTGTGCTCAGACCTACCATCATAGTCGAGACCAGACTCAGAGGTCTGGCCGGTAAAAGAGGGCATGTTCAGGATACAAGATCCAGATTGGGAGAAGCAGAAACCGTCTGCGCAACGATAAGTTCAACCCCAGAGGTTAATGCTGGTCAGGCCGCGCGTCTGTGTGCTGGAGGTGTTGTCAGTCGGGGACGAAGAACTGAGGAGCTTTTTTGGGGGGGGGGTAATCCATACTATAAGTCATGTAGACCCGCAGGGGACACTGGAGCTCTGGCGGGCCAACAACGGGGTAAAAAGTGTCAAAGAGTCCCGGAAGTTCGTACAGGAAGAATTCCAAGCGGAATTGGCACAATGGCGGGAAAACTGTTGAATTTGACCAGAATCGAAAAGAGGAAAAGAGGGTGACCAAGTGGGGGGTGGAGCGATAAAGGTGCCGTTCAGCAGCTGGCTCGAAAATACGGTCGGCGGACGGTCTCGATGGGGTTCCACTTAGGACCACAATCACATGTGATCAAGAAAGAAGTGAGAGAAGGGAAGAGTAGGCGAAGATGGCACGATTGATGTGCGAGAGTAAAATACTTATTATGAGGGTGTAGGTGATACACCACTACGGGCAATTCAACAATGATGTCGAAGGAATGAATCTCAAGCAAGCAAGTGAGTGAGTGAGTGAGTGAGTGAGTGAGTGGCAAATGACGATGTGTAGCGGCCGTGCAAACGGAAGGTGTGATGGGAGAGGCCCGGGGCAGGGAGGGAAGAAAAGGTCAGGATTGATCTCAGGTGACCTGCCAGTCCCGCCCATCAATTATCAAACTCGGCGGTGAGCTCGTCCCACGAAGTGTTTCTAGGGACAATCAAGCAACATCTGCGAGCACACGACAACCGGCAACACATGCAAATCTCACTGGGCAGTGTTTGCTTGTTTCCCATTCAGGCTCAGCACTTTTCTGAGGATCAGAGACGGGTCGCGATATCGGCCAAGCAGCTGAGACAGACAACTGTCTGCTTCGACCTCATCCCGGGGCAGTGTTTGGTGAAATAAGCCGACCGCTATGCCAACTGGCGCTATGGAGAATGTTGAGGGATTGTCTTATTCAAGTATAATAATGATATTCTGACTGCCAAGGTTCCGCTGTGATTCTCAATTAAAGTGGGATCCGACACTTGCAGTAGGCTCGCATGGGCCTTGACCCTATCTGCCATAGACCAGGAGCCGAGCACGTCAGGCATGGCTAATTTCCGATGTCGATCTGCGATCGAGTTTACAGGTGCCGCGGCCTGTAGTTGTATATCGCTACTAAGGAAACTGTTGAGAACACACCTATTTCAGAAGACCCATCGAGAAGTGAAGAATAGTACTGCATCGCCTAACTGGTAATTCGCAGTTGATCCATTCGGGCTTTAGTTGGGTTACTCAAGTAAATTGTTGGGGGAGGGCCCCTGGTTCGTCCACTGCACCAGTCGCCAGTTGCAGTGCAGTGGCCAAGTTCCTGTGCTGTGTTTGCTTTTATGCATGCTTAGTAACTAGGCATCGATATTTCCAGAACTCGGTGCCTCGCTCAGCCACCGGAAGGCATACGTAGTGGGTCGCTGAGCCGCAATCGCATGTCCCTCGATCTACAGGATTCGCCGGACTGCCCCCAAACCACCATTCGCTGTTCCGTCAAATCCGCGCGAGCAAGTGGATGCGCAAAAGCCGACAGCCACGGTGGCTTGGGACGGCAATGCCATCGGTGAATGGATGCTATTCTTATTTCTGGAAATCTGACCGATCGGAAGGGGTCGGGCAACTGTTGGAACTGGGACGAAACTGGGACCGGACCCTCCAGGGGACTGACGATCCCCAAATTTCAGGTCCATGGGGGTTTTGTGTACCCATCGTTTGCCGCATCTGCCGATTGTTATAAATTGTTCGTCTTTCGTCGTTACCTAGCGCTGATCTTCTGTAATCTACTTTTATTCCTGGACATTCACATAGATACCCCATATACCCATATACCCCGGGTTCAATCACAGTTATTCTCAGCGTTCCTTATCCTTATCCTTATCCTTATCTCGCCTAACCACTTTCCACCCACCACCTCTACTATACTATACAACTCTCGCCTTCAATCCTACCAACCATCCACAGAATCACAAGAAACCGTCAACATGCAACTCCAAACCCTCCTCCTGACCACCGCCTTCCTCAGCGGCTCCGCCCTCGCCGCCCCCCAGGGCGACATCGTCGGCAGCATCGTGTCGGGTGCCGAGGGCATCGCGCAGACGGTGGCCTCGGGGGCGGAGAACGCGGCGACCAACATCGTCTCGGCGGCGACCTCGATCGCTAGCGCGGCCGAGACGGGCGGTGCGGCCGCCGCCTCCGACGCCCGCTCCTGGGGTGAATCGGTGGCCTCCAGCGCCGAGTCCTACGGGCAGTCGGTCGCCTCCGACGCGCGGTCCCGGGCTTCCGATGTCGCCTCCAAGGCCTCCTCCCGCTGGGACGACCTGACCACCCTCACCGGCACCAACGGCGAGGCCACGGCCACCTCGACTGTCTCCGGCGGGAACACCGCGACGGTGACCACGGCGACCGCCACTACGACCGGTACCACCTCCACCACTGGTACGTCGACTGGCAATAGCCGCAGCAGCAGCAGCAGCAGCAGCACGGCCTCGAGCTCCAGCTCCGAGGGCGCGGGTGTCCAGGCTACTCCCGCTGCAGTGTTGGGCTACGGCATCGCCGGCGTAGCGGGTGTCTTGGGAGTGATGGCTGCTTTGTAAGGCGCGGAGTTGGCCTGACCACTTCAAGGGTCACTTTCGGGCTTGTTTTCCATTCAAGAGATCACATTCGATCCAGGTACCCTTTCATTCTTTGGGTGGACTGTACATGACACTATTCAACATATCATTGTTCATAACTATTTCCCCGCGTCGTCGCTTTCCTTTTTTTTTTATCGCATGTTTGATAAATAGCATTCAGTCCATAGAACAATGCTTCTTTTCTATCCCTCTTCCCCTAAAATCACCTATAAGCTCTAGCCTAGTGTACTCCTCGCGTTGATTCCATCGAAGTACCGAAAACCCATGCGAGTAGATGCCTTACCCATCATCGCGTAAACCACCGGTGACCAATGGTCCATACCCGTGACCTGACCAACCCCGTTGCGCATAGCAGCCATCTAGCACGGCACTTTCACGATCCTACCTCTTACATCTACACCCACACCTACACCTACAACCAACAACAATCAGCAAACCTTCCACCCTCGTCATTTGTAAACTGTTACTGACCCCCCGCCCCCCACAACAAATACCTGACCAACTCCCCACCTCCACAGGTGCATACTGAAGTACACTCACCAAACATCCCCGATCGCCCATCAAACCGCGCGGCGCAGCGCTGTGTCCGAGTCGCCCCCCCCCCCACTAAACCAGCAAGATCATCCATCCCTAAATGTGCGGTTCTCTCGCGTCACGTCGCTAATTGCCAAGTGACTCAGCGGCGATGCCGGGGCGGGGGGATTGCGCGGCTTCCTCTTCCGTTCCATGTCGTGTGTCATGTGATGGTGGCGGGAATATAACCTCCCCCCCCTTTCGGATGGGTCTATCTTTCTTCATCCGTCGTGGATGGATGTTGAGGAGGGCGTTGCGGTCGGCCGGTGGGGTTGGGGGGTTCGAGGTGGATTGTGGTTTTGATTTGATTTTTATGTATGCGATTCTCATGGGTAAGCTTCACTGCCCATGCTATCGTGCATCGACGACGTGTGTTGACGGGAATCGTGAGTGATGGCTTCGATCAGCCTGCAGTGATTTGTGGGAGGGGGGCAGTTGACATTGGCAGTGTACTGTAGATCATCCGGGCTCGACGACGAGTGTGCGGTGCGATCCAGCCTGGATTTACAGTCGTTGAATGTTTGGGTAATGTGTCGCTGAGACTCCCAGCATTCAATCTTACTATACAGCATTCATGATTTCAAGTTATTGGAGATTGTATTAACTGTAGGTAGGTAGGAAGGTACTGTACTCAGACGCCAGCTAGGACTATCGAACGGAAAATGCAAGAACTCGGCGATGTGAAAAACCACAACCAGCAGCTTCGGATAATGTACATTCAACTCCAGCTATCCTACTAGGAAAGACTGCCCTCCACCCAAGAAAACAAGATTACACCTCCGTGGTATGGGAGGTGGAGGGCTGGCCATCGCCCACACGCGGGATATGAGCGGCGACGGCTTTCTCCGTCGCGGAGCCGCGGCGATCGTAGGGCTGCAGCTCCTCGAACTGGAACTTGGAGCTCTTCCAGGGCGGGACGCGCATCACGTACATGGTGTCGATCTCCTCCAGGGTGCGGCCGCGGCCCTCGATCACCGTCAGGTACACCAGGCCCGCGGCCAGGAACAGACAGCCGGCGAAGACGTAGCCGAACCGGAAGTCGATCGCGCTCGTGATGAAGGGGGTGAAGAAGGCCAGCAGGAAGTTCCAGAGCCAGTTGGACGCGGTGGCCAGCGACATGGCCCGCGCGCGGTACTCGGACGGGTACAGCTCCGCGATGATCGTCCACACCATGGGGCCCCACGTGGAGGCGAACCCCAGGATGAACAGACAGGCGAACACGACCATGACCACCCCGGCGGTGTGCGTGCTCTCCGGGTCTTCCCGGTCCAGTTCGAAGTGGCCCACCGAGGCGAAGATCATGAAGCACACGAACATCCACAGCGCACCGGCGATCAACGACCGCCGACGGCCATAGTTCTCGATCAGATACAGACCCAAGAACGTGGTCCCAAAGTTCACACCACCGAGGATCATCTGTGTGACGTAGCTGTTACTGATCCCGGCGCCTTGGAAGATGGTTGTCCCGTAGTAGAAGAAGTAATTGGCCTGGGGTCTTTGTTAGCTAGTGCTATTTTGGGAGCAGGCGGGATGGCTCAACTTACCCCGGTCAGTTGTTGCAGTGCCTGGAGAGCCACTCCGACTGCTATCCGGTACTTCATGCGCGGCCCCTTGAAGAGCTGGACCCAGCTCACCTTCCCACGCGCCAGTTCCTCCTCGTACTTTTGCTTGATCTCATCGAGTTCTTCCTTCAGTCTGCGGTGATTATGGGGAATCCCGTACATCTTGGCGATGGTGTCGGTTGCTCGCTCGACCTTGCCGTGCCGATAGTCGTATCGGACGGTTTCGGGGAACAGCGAAATCCCCACCCCCAGGACGATCGCCCACAGGTAGGTGATGCCCATGGGAATGCGCCAGGAGGCGGTGCTGTCCATGTCTTCGGTCCCGAAGTTGATGCAGTTGGCGACGAAGATGCCCAACGTGATGAACAGCTGGTAGGTACTGTTGCAGTATTAGTGCGCGGTAGAAGATGACAGGGGACAGGGAGCAAGCATACCTGACCAGTGAGCCACGAATGTGTCTTGGTCCAGTTTCGGCTTGATACATCGGCACGAGCAATGACAATGCCCCGACACCGAGGCCTGCCACCCAACGACCCATGGCCACTTGATACCACTTCCCGGACGGAGAGGATATCTGAACCGTGATGCCCACACACACCATGGCTGACCATCCACTAATGGACCATTTGCGACCCACGCGATCTGCGATGGGAGCTGCAACGAGAGCGCCGATCAGGGTGCCAACGGACAGCTGAAGGAATGCGTTAGCCTCGTGAGCAAAACTTTAGAGCAGAGGAACAGAGCTCTTACCAACGCCACGATGAGGCCCGAGCGGGCATTGGTAAAGTAATACGTGCCATCGGAACGCTGTTGGCCGTATCGTTGAAGGAAGTTCGGCATCTCTAAGAACCCGGAAATCTGACCCGTGTCGTACCCGAAGAGGAAACCTCCCATCGACACGAAGACTCCCATGAGAAAAGAGCGCCATGTGAGGAGCGGAATGGGCGTGTCAACTAGCTCTTCCTCTTTTGCTTCTTGGATCGGCGCCGTGGAGAGTGTTCTATCTGCCGTGGCCCTATTGTCCCCGGCAGAGTAAGTGTCGGGCCTACCTCCCGGTCGCCTCAGCTTGGAGAAGACCATTGTTCGCTAGCTTGCTTCGTTCGTTATGTCAAAGTTGATCGGAATCCAGTCATCCAGAGAATTACGAGATCCCAAACCGAGCCGTAACCGGTCTACAGAAGCCGTTATATAGACCTCATAGTATACGAAACACCCGAGACACGAGGAGATGGATGATGAATCATGATGTCACGAAATCGCAGCTTCCCGCATCCCTATTTCGTTTGAATCTTCTAGATGGAGGTGTCAGCGACAGCATTCGTCTGGGATACTTAATTGAGAGACCAGGGTGTCTTTTCCCCGGAGTGAGCCCATGTCAGGTGCTCACGTGGAGGGGTTGGGTGGCCGGGTTCCCATGGCTCGGTACGGAGTACTGGTTGTGCGTGCACTATGCTGAGTGGCTCCCGGCCGCCGCATGCAACAGCCACGCCGTGGAACCCGCACCAACCCCGGACGGCGACGAAGTCTAGGCGTTCATCATGTCGCCTGGCCACGATCTGGGGAAAAGTCTATCATTATGTCATTTATGTCATTTACTCAGAGGGGCAGTCCCCACGACCAATATGACAGGTTCTTTTACGCCCCATGCATCAGGTGGCTTGATCGATACCACCCGGCCGTCCATGGATCGAGAGATCGGGCTTCCTGGCACAACAACTACCCTACTGAGCAGGCGGTGCTCGGTCACGGCCGAGCAAGCGGAGGCCTGAATCATGAGTTGGGCTTCAGCTTCATTGTCAGACTCTCGGCGATCCCGAGAGAGCCGTTTCGAGGCATATCGCCGTGATCTGTGGCAAGGGTTGGCAGACAAAGAGCCGCTCCACGGGCAGAGAGGAAGTCGGGAGATTAGGGGTGTATCTGTGTGACATAGCTGTTTGAGGTTCCGTGGTCATACCACAGTAGAAACAGTCAGCTCTGAGTCAATTCGATGCCTAAGGTAGAGACGTATGTGCTCTTGCTGCAACCGGGGACTTGACGCACGGCCCCTTGACCTTTACCACCTTGTCTCCGTCAAACAAGATCTTGCTTGACAGCAATGCTGTTGCTCTGCATAAGCCTCGCATGTCAGATATCATCGTCAAGCTGTGTAATGTTGTTTCCCAACTACAGCCTTTCACTACCGAACGGTACATACATCATCAAGCAACCATTGCTGCCACTGGAAACACAATCAAACAGCTGTAACCAAAACACAAACAGTCTCTCAATCAAATACCAGTAGCCTGACACACTGCAATTTATCTGGAAACCATCAATCTCCCAATAAAAAACTTGCACATGCGACGCAAGTAGCACATCGCGGCCTCCCATATTACCCAATCCGGCCGTCCTTCGATCCGGGCACACGCATCCAACAAAGGAAACACGATCACTCTCCCGAGTCCCAGCAATGTACGATGGACAGTCGACCACCAGCAAGAATACCTAAGGTAGTCACCCATATCTCCGCCTCGAACCAGACCTCCCTTCCATTCTTGCAGCCCTAATCGAAGCACACCCGCAACCATCTTGTGGAATATTCTCCCCTCCCCGGCTCGACTTGACAACCCTCTTCCCCAGACCAGACTCTCACTTAATTCCGACCCTGTCCTTGTTGCTGCCCCTGCTGCCCTTGTTGCTGTTGCTGCTGCTGTTGCTGCTGCGCTTCCTCGACCTTCTTCGAGATCCCGGTGGTAGGCGTATCATTCCTGGCCAGCATCATGGCCCTGCTCGTCTGCATTGATTGCATCGTTAGCAGATCATTTCATCCCATCAAGCTCGCAAGGATTCAGCAACGTACCTGCTTCTCGCCCAGCGCCACCGCATCTGTGTCTGGAACCGGAGCTGTCATTGCCACTGTGGCCATGAAAACCGAGACGAGGTACACGAGCTTCATGTTGATTCTATGGTGTTTTGCAGAAGACGGAATTAGACTTGGGGTTGGGGGGACTAAGAGAAGCTTGTCACGGATCGTGGCGTATTGAATTGAATTGGATTGCTCTGCGATAGAATCGGGTAGGCTAAAGGTAAGATGAAGTTGCTCGGAGGTTGAAATTGAAGGGGTTGCAGTACAGTACATCCCTGACTGCTGCTCAAGTTGGTATATATACCCTCGAAACTCACCGGACAGAAAAAGATAACCTCGAACCTATGTACAGCACCTACCAAGTAACCCCCTAGATTAGCTACTCACTAAGGCACCTAAAACAAACTTGTCACTTTAAAATCAAAAGTCCCGCGCAGCGCAAAAAGAACAAGGCTATTGACAATTATCTGATACGTCTTCTCGTTAGTTCTCTCCTAGCATTCGCTTACGGTAGATTGTCATTAGTCATTCCTGGGGTCCGCTCCCGACTACGTACTTTGTACACTGCAGTCAAGAAATGATGATGCTATTCAGGAGATTTATGGGTGCATTGATCAATTGGGCGGGGGGGGGGGGGGGGGCGGGGGGCCAGCCACCACCACCACCCGCCGATACACCCGATCACGGATTGAGGAAGAACCTCGAGCAGGCAACCACTACTATGAGCCCCCCGTCCCAATGAATTGGGTCCCGAAGAATACTCCGTCGGACATGATCGGCCCAATTGCAGTGGCCCCTTCTCAGTGAGGCAGATCAGGCTTCTGGCTAGTATGAAAGCGGCAAGTGTTCGTCCCGGGACGGACCGGACTCCCTCCCCTTGACTGGGGTTTGGGATGAAGCAACCTCGGCTGAACCGTACCTACCGACCTGTCACTGCACCAAAAGTGGGCTACCAATGGAGTACAGTACTCACGCTGCATGTAAAGCTAGGTCTTCGGCCGGGAGGTGGACCTTCGGCGGGTCCTGGTGGAGTTGGGATCGACTCCGACTCTATTGTTGGGGGTTGTTTGACAGCTGGTCGGGGATTGTGTTCTGGTGAGATTGTCAGGGAGTAGTGGGTGGTGTCGGTGTAGGAAGTCTACTTCCGTTAGTCTGGAACGCTTTGCTGAAAGGTTGGCTTTGCCGCCGCTAGAGCCTTTCACACCTCGGTCAAACAAGCGTAATCATTCTACCTCACTTCGCTTCGCTGCTTTGCTTCTTCGCTTCTTTGATGTGGTGGTGGTGGTGGTGGTGACAGAAGCCGTGGCATGAGCCCCATTATCGTCGACATTACGGAGAATGTGGCTTGCTTGGGCTATGACTTTGCCTAGACGAACTTGGTGCTGAATATAAGAAATGGAAGGGAGGCGAGGCTTGAGGGGATCCTCGGAGAGACCAAGTCGCAACTTCGTAGGGAGTACTGTAGGCCGGTCAGATTTCCAGTATGCAGCAAACCCATCATTCGATCTGGGCTTGACGCCTCAATTGGCCTCGACCGTCTTTGTGATTTGTATTTGCATGCTGCACCGATGCATGGAATGAAATGATATGACGCGTCACATAAGTGTACAGAACCTCCTCCTTCCCTTCGCCACACTGGTACGGAGCAGTACCTCGCTTATGCGTACTTCGTCGAAGCTTCCCAAATGGCTCTCGCCCTTGAATGGGGTAAGTGGAAGGGAATTGTGATCTATCTCATCGGAAGATGTAAATAATCTTCCATAGTTTCTGGATTCAAGGGCGCTACAGTACTCCGTACCTATTCCCTTTTTAGTCCCTCGAGAGTGCTTTGGTGCTTTTCACCACTGTGATCGTCGAATCTCGCAGGCGTCTAGCCTGGATCATGCGTCGGTTTTCCACACAGATCTGCTCTCATCTTCCGTTCGGAGCAGCCCCCCTCCCCAGGGGATTTTCAGACACAAAAGTACAGCACAGTCCATCAAAATAAGGCTAGATCGGACATCGGACGCCATGGCGCAGAAGTACCAGTACCAGGAACGGGGTGAGTGGATCAGGCTGTCCTGTCAAATGCGCATTGACTTTGTTCGATGGTCGTCTTCTATTAAAAACCTGGTCGATCAATTCGGATCGCCCCCCTATTTGTTCCAGTTGGTGGTCTGTCAGAAACCAGAACCCAAGGAGTGATACTGTTTGTTCCCACAACCAACTCTACACGACTCACACAAAAGGCAACACCAGATGCGAAGCATACTCGCCTCCCCCGTAGACCACATGGGCCCCTTGATTCTCATCGTCCGGCTCCGTCGGCCGCATGAAGTCCACCTCCGGGAAACACATATCGTGGCCCGACACACGGAGCACGATGCCCTCCCCGGGCCCAAAGACCATGCCCATCGGCCAGAGACCGATGTCCAATGGTACAATGGTCCCGGGGGCAATCGGCTCCCGTCGATCATGCCGGTACATGATCTCGTCCGCGGTCGATCGGGTTTCATCATCATCGCGAGTGACCGCGTGCGAGGCGCGCAGGAAGCCCGACGGACCCAGGGTCTTGACGGTGTTCACATTCGGGACTTCCGTCGCCGGCATGGGGCACGGATAGTTGAGATGCTCAAGAAGCTTGCCGTCGCGGTTGATCTTGCGGATTTGCACCGCGACGTCCAGGTCATCGTGATCTGGACAGGACATCCAGAGTCGGACCTGCGGGTATCCGGCGAGTTCGGTGTATTGGTCAAAGTATAGGACGAAATCCTGGACGGTGCAAGCGGTTAGTGCGTGATTAGAGAAGATTCATGGGGAAGTGCTCACCGAGCTGGCTTTCAGGTCGTGTCCTGCATGTGCGACGGATGATACAGCAACTGGCTGCTGTGGCTGCAACGTCATGGTCTCCGGCCTGAGATAGAACCTCTTCAATTCCTGCCGCGCTAATGGGTACTCCTTCTCAGGTCGTTCACAAATTGTCTGCACAACACTATCTTCGAACCCGAGCAGCGAGAGTCTGACTGGCGGGGTACTCTCCTCCCAGCCATTCTCAACGCCCTTGAGATACCGATCAAAGTATCGTGCCAGGTCTTCGACCATCTCCGGACGATAGAGGTCGTACCATTCCTGATAGGGATGCACACGGAGCCATTTGCGCGGGCTCTGGGCGGCACGGAACGTCTCGAAGGAGCCACGGGTATGCAGCATGGACGAATACGATGCTAGAACATACAACGGCACGTCGCCAATCCGTTCCGGGTGAATGCGCTTGCTCTGCCAGTAGTCATCATAGAAGGGCCGCTTGCGGATCATGGCCGGCATGTTCTCCGCGGCCCCGTGGCCGGCGAAGCCCGTGAGGATCATGGCGTGGAACCGCTCGTTGTGCGGCCGTCCCCCACGGAACACCAAATCCCGGTAGAGATCCGTGAGCCCTTCCCACGGCGCGAGGGCCTTGAGGGCCGGGTGCGCGAACCGCGAGGCGAAGTTGACCTGCGCGATGGACAGCCACGAATTGCCGGCCATGCCGACCGAGCCGGAGCACCACGGCTGCCGCGCCAGCCAGTCGATCGCATCCCAGATGTCCTCGGCCTCCTGCTGGCCCCAGAACACGATATTGCCCTCCGAGTCGCCGCACCCGCGGGCGTCCACGTTGACGACCGCATAGCCACGCGCGGTCCATTCCGCCGGGTCGGGCCCCTCGAACTTCTCGTAGCCGGAAGTGCGTCCCTTCTCGAGACCGGCGCGGAACGGGGCCATGCTGTCGTAGCTCTGGGGGCCGGTGCCGGTCTTCCCGTAGGGGCTCCAGGGCATGATCGCTGGAACGGGGACATCGTCCGAGTCGACGGGCCGGAAGATATCCGCGTAGATCTTGATGCCGTCACGAAGGGTGATTGCCACGTCTCGGCCGTAGATCATGTCTGTAGGCAGTGATCGGAACCCCGAAGATCGGACATGACCCTTGGGAAGGATGGTCTCGCTTGGTTGGAAGCCATAGTAGGTGAAAGTCGGGTGGTCAGTTGGAGGGGTGAGTTTGTGCCATTCGAGATCAGGGAAGGCTGCGCGAATCGACTTTTCGGTAGTGGTCATGATGGAGGTTGATAGTATCGATATGAAGGATGGTCTGTATTGGATTCTTTGGAGGCATGCTTGCTATTTATGATCATGAGAAGGTCAATCAATATCTCCACTCCCCCACATGCCGGGGCTAGGAGGAGTTGGTGCGGAGAAACACCCGTTGGCAATTGCTGATGGTCAGAAGTAGGACGTCGGGAAGTGGGAAGTGGGAAGTGGGGGTGGGAAAGGTGGGTTGTAGAGAGATGGGAGAGTGGGGAGAATCAACAGCAGGTGATTCACTATGGGTGAACTGGAAAGAACTCGAAGCAACTCAATTTGAATTGTTGCAAGTTGTAGCCTGAGGCATAAGGCTGGTCCTCAATCGCATCAAGTCCTCACTGACTGTAGCATGCAGGGTAGGCGTGCAGCTATTCATTTTGAAGAACAACTTACGGAGTACAGCGGAGATGATTTTTGAGAAGACTCCAATCAACAATAAACATTAGTAATATTGCACTGATTTCGCAGCACTATACAACAGAAAAGCAGACCTCTATATACAGCGGGCTTCAAGTTAACAGAACTTGTAAAAGATAATGACAGACAACAGGAAAGTGAAAGTAAACCTCTAAACGCCGACACCCCGGGACCAATGTATGCACCATGGATAATCAAAGAAAGTGGTCTCACAAGATTAGTACAACATGTTGTTCAAGATTCACAGAGAAAGACAAGTCTAATGCTTGGGCATGACCGCAAGCTCATAGTCCACAGGCACTTCCGGCCACGCGTCGATTCCATCCATGATGGCCATTGCCAGTCCACCGCTGTGGTGCATCTGGATGTGGCAGTGCATGAAGAAAGGACCGGGGTTGGTGACGTGGTATCGGAGTGCCATCCAGCTGGGAGCACCCAGGGATGGTGGGGTCTGGAAGGTGTCACGCATCTGAGGGGTTTGCAGGTTGAAGCTGGTTGGGATCTTCTTCATCGCCTCCTCGACAGAGGAGTAGGTCCAGGCCGAATTGCCCTGTCCGATCACGTAAAACTTGTTCGAGTGCTTGTGGATCGGATGTTGAGGCTGACCGGCAGTGGTGACATTGAGGATAAGATCCACCCAGGTGTCATTCAAGGTTGCGATCATGTTCTGGGTGGGGATCGAGGTGGGATCGAACAGTGCTGGGAATTGAACATCCTCGAGATCCATCGGATAGGACTCATTTCCTAGCCTCCAGCCATACGAGGTCGACAATTGAGCAATGTCGAGAATGAATGTCTTATTGGCATATGCCGCAGGCGGCTCGCGGGGGAATGGAACGAGGGTGTTGTCATCGAGGATGCTTTTACTGCGATCTAGAACAGTACCAAGCTCATTAATGTATTGCCCCGACGAGGTAGTCGAGCCAGGCCTGCTGTTGCTGGTCGGCACGGTTCTCTGCGGACTGGTTACGCTGGGGCTGCTAGACCCTTGGTTGGTGTAGGTCAAAGTCGCTGTGCCATTAATGATCTGGTTGGCATACTTGTTGGCCGCACGGACTGTGTATGATCCAGCGGGCTGATCCAATTTCAACATCACCGAATATCTTGAGCCAGCGGGGATATTGATCGCGTAGGTGGTGGATGGTTCCACATAGCGTCCATCAACCGCATAGACAATCATCGGATGGTTGTCAATGGAGAACACTAGCGAGGCACTGCCAGCCATACTCAATACATCATAACTGACATATTTCTTGGATGCATCGACATTGAACACCTGGTTCGGACCCTGAGCCGGCACGCAGCCCTCGAAGTAGCCCTTAGGAATTTTGGTGAGATCAAAGTCGTATCGTGCATATCGTGACGCAGTAGGTGGCATACATCTGGTTGCAGTCATGTTTAGCACGAGGATCAGAGAGAGAATATCGACGCAGAACTCACCCCATATCACTCATTTTCACATCTCCCAATGCCTGGCTTTCGCCCGCTCGGGTAAGAGAGTCAATTTGATCCTGACCGGGACAAATGACAGAACCCTTTCCATTAACTAAAATGGAACTGGCACAGTAGCTTGAGAAGCCAGAGTCTTCTTGAATCTGAAGAATCTCTTCGGAAGTGAATAGACGCCAGTCAGAGATAATAACCGGCTGTGTTTTCTTTTCAGCGTCTAACAGTGCCTGCAGCTCCGTCTGATCACTGGTCATCAGGCTGAACGGTCTTTCCACTGAGTCCGCAGGCTCCACGTAGATAGCACCATAGAGACCATCATCGAGCTGGGCTCTCATGTGTGAATGGTATATATATGTTCCATATGCATCTGCCTTCCACTTGTATAGAAAAGCGTCGCCTGGTTGGATGGGGGCTTGCGAGATTCCAGGAACACCATCGGACCACGGGGTACCTTGTTGTACGATGCCTATCACCCCAATGTTAGTACGAACCGGGAAGGACGCGGAGAGAAGAGATGAACCATGCATAGGGCGACTTACCGTGGAAGTGAATGGCAGTTTCGAATGGCATGGAGTTGTTGACGAGGAATTCCACATCATCACCTTGCTTGACTCGCAACGTTGGACCAGGAAGTTGGCCGTTGGTCCAGATGGCTTTGCGCGTATTGCCAGCTACCTTACCGTCCTCCCATGTTAGATTGACATTGAACTTCACCGTTTTGCAGGAGGCCAGTTCAATGAGGCCAGTGAGGGCCGCCAGAGCCAGCCCGGAGTAAGTGAGCTTCATGACTGATGAAAGACAGAATCTATCCGATTGACCTTAACAAAAAGGGAAATGTTCAAGTCGGAAAGCTGGGTCGATGGTGAAATTCGGCCCGTGAGCTGGGGCCGGGTTGTCGTATGGGTTTGTCGTTGTACTTTCTCTGAATTCCATTTGGACTCTGGCAGGCTGTACTTATATTATCAGAGATCAGGTCTAGAAATGTGCTCGGTTACGTTGTGCTAGCTGAACCCGAGCACCGGAATGTAGACCAGCTCCAAAAATATCCGGCTCGTCCCTCCACAGCATCGAGTTAAGTCCGAGACCTGTCATCGGGAGTCTTCTCAATGCTATCATTGATGGCAAGCCTACTGCATTCGGACTTGCCACATCTCTTTGTCTGCGACTCACTGTGGACGACTGAGTTCAGATGTCTTGATGCATAAGACATGTTCATACGCTCTGTACTCACTTGTCTTGATCATGATATTGACTGCTCCCGGGGCTCCAGGTACTCTCTGTCGCCGAGAAGAGTAATCTCCGGAGTCGAACTCCTGGATTGACCAAGCATGGAAAGATCGACCTCGATATGCTGTACCCAAGGTGTTGTTTAGCTATCGGATGCAGGAAATCCATGTGTTGAGGCCCTGTCTTGGCAGGGATCGACAGGGCAGCGGACCCACGCATGCGGAATGAGGAAGAAAACAAACATCCTAAAGGATCCAAAGATGCTGTCATCGTCCGGTAGCGAGGGGGAGATGCTCGGTCATCTCCATAGTGCCAAGTTTAAGGTTGCATGGAAGCCCTGTGTAGTATCAATCTAGTTCCCTGCTTGCTCGCCCATTTCCATGGACCTCAGCAACGGCCCGTCGTCGCATCCGCACCCGCGCCATAGCAAACCACTGGAACCATTTAAACCAACTGTCAGACTCGAGATTGGCGCACAAATCATGAAACGAGTGTGCTCATTATGGAATTACACAATCCATCTTCATCCAAGGGACAAGTGATTGATAGTTAGAGAGCAGCAAGATGTGCAAACCACCGTGAGCGCAACCGGCACTAGACATGCACTTGGCAGCCGGGACCGGGTCAGCTTTCATGGCGGTAGTCTCGATCGGGAAATGTTCACATTCCTGGGTTGACCTCCTGGTCTACCTGTCTTTGTTTGTTTATAGTCCAGCATTCGAATCCATAGAATCATTGCGGAGCAACCATGTGCCCTTCTCGAATGTCAAAGAAAACTGAATTTGATGTTGGTCGGCTATCTAAATCGGGCAGTATGTTTGACAGACTGGACGATGTATACTTGATATAGCTGCCTGTATATTCAGGCAGCACACGGCACCACACTAAGCCCCCCTCGTCAGGTTCTCTCTCAAGTCACGTAGTCGATGATGGTCATCGAGTACAATGCCGACTCTCTTTGCTCCATGACTCACCCCAACGGGGTTGCCTCGATGAGCGTCGTCATGATTAGGTCGGGATTGGCTGATAATGGTACCATGCAGGCGACTAGTGCTGCATCAGCGGGATAATCCCTCAATTCACCATCGACCGAGTCTTATCAACAGAGCCTCAAGATGGCGTCGCTATCCAGAAATTGCTGGCATGTCATGTCTTCCTCGGTCGGAGAGTACAGATCTGCCCAACAAATGTCATGTCTTCGAGTGAAAGAACCGGTTTAATTGCAAGCTCTAGAAATGGGAGCGATCCAACAGGCCTCAGCTCCACGAATAGTCCCAAGGACAATAGTAGCGGCACCAACGGTAGTACCAGACTAGCGATTCTCATTGCATATCTCGGTATGCCCCTGTTCTTACTGGGCTCTTCCACAATAGCTAACAACACCAGGGGCATTTCTTGCTAGCTCTGACGAGTCAGTCGTCATCGCGACCTACGATGTCATTGCTTCCGAGTTCCATGAACTCGCCAAAGGCCCATGGCTAGTCACTGGCTACAATCTGGGCTACTGCATTGCATTACCGATTGTACGTGTCTGCTCTTCATCTAAAATGGATGAAGCCCATTAACCACAGGATATTCCTCTGTACAGTATGGCACATTGGCAGATGCATGGGGGCGCAAGTTATCCATGCTTGTAGGATACTCATTCTTTGGCATAGGCTGTCTTATCAGGTTGGTTACCTTCGAAGGACGTCGTCTTTGATTCTCTATCAATTTTCTCACTGGCCAAACAGCTCTATCAGAGCAGCATTGACTGGGTTGATAGTAGGGCGAATCGTCAGTGGCGTCGGCGCTGCTGGCATGGCCATCACAGTCTCGATAATCATCACCGGTGGGTTGTCATCTTCCTTCAGAATGGTTTAGCTCACACTCAATGTAAAATTAGATCTTGCTGCTCCGCGTGATGTTGCCCTTTTGCGGAGCTATACCAACGTTGTAGCTATGATCGGACGGGGCGTTGGGGCTCCAATAGGTAGCATCGTGGTCAATTCACTTGGTTGGAGATGGTAAGGAGTCTCGTTCCGAAGTAAGATGATGGGAACTGACAAGGACAGGGCGTTTGCTGGTCGGTTGCCACTCATTGTGCTCTGTTTGGTTCTGTCCCGAGTATACTTCTCAGACCACCACAAAGAGACCGCCGAGCCCCAAACTTCCCACGGGTGTAATATCAAGCAACTTGATTACCTGGGCATTGCTACCTTTGCAACTGCGGTCGTGGCTCTGTTGATGGCCATCACAATTGCAGGCCAGGAAGGCGGCAAGATGTCCCACCTCTATTTTTGGTTGGTGATCTTCACACTTGCAGCAATCTTCTTTACCTTGCACGAGATTCTGTGGGCGAAAAGACCACTGGTGCCTCTTAAGCTGCCTACCAAGGTATCGGTCAATATTGGTTGGTGGAGCTACTGATCTTCAGCGGGAGAAATGGGGTGAGTGTCACACATGGAAAATTTTGCATCCGTCAGGATGATTAACCCCGCGCAGCTTGTTGCTACTATAACTCAATATCTCACCCAAGTGAAGCGTCTTCCGGAGGCTACGGCTTCAATGTACCTCGTTCTCAGCACGATGGGACTTGCAGTCGGGTCCATGACTTCCGGCTTCGCCATCTAACGGTAAGTACGACGCCTTCGTCTCTTGTGTTTTCCATTCATGTCTAACCCGAGCAGAACAAAACGGTACAGAACGCGAAGTCTTTACTCCGCTGTCATCAGCATCCTCTCATCAATACTCCTCTTTTTCGCTTGGCATTTCGACCATCCGGTCGTAGAGTCTTTGTTGGTGATTCCCATGAGTACGCCGATTGGCATCATCACCTCCGGTGATTTTATCGGCATGTCCAGTCGCCCGTCGCCAGAGGTCCTGGCGTCTTCGATTGGAGCATACTACCTCAGCCAGCAGCTGGGTTTGATTGTGTGTGCAGCAATGGGACCCTTGGTCGTGAGAACTGGGTTCAAGCACGACATTGCCGGGGGGGCTGAACGAGTCGGTAGAAAATGAGGTAAAGCATAGCGTTGCGTCCAGTTTCTGGGGCGGTTGGTAGTCTGGACAGTGGACACTAACACGATCAGGTCATCCGCAATGTGCTTCGCGATGCCAAGTACGTCGATACCCTACCGGAAGATATACAGAGAGTAGTCCGTTCCTCCTTGGGCTACGGATATCAATTCGTACCAGGTAAGCAGCTGGCCTTCATTGGGTAGGAGACACAATACTGACTCGGCAGTACTTGCGACGGTCACTGTTGCTCTCTGTGTGTCCAGCCTGGTGTTGACGCGCGAACAATCGGTGGAATAAGCAGCCCCTAATTGCAGACGGTATTAGGATAGGGCTTCGTCGATTAGGCTGTGCCGCGCTGTGCGTGAGATGAGACTTCGAAATGAATTCTCTCTTCAACAGCCTTAGGTATTCGGTGCTGTCAAATCTACAAGGCATGCGTGGAAGGAATGAAAGCCGGGGGATCGACAACTTTGGCTTTTCAATGAATTGGATCGCCTCGGCTACGCTTTTTATAGAATGGAAATGAATGAGGTTCAATTGCAGTCATCTAACCCCCAGATTCGTTTCGAACTTGACGGGTGGTGTCGCCGATTACATGTATCCAATTGACTTGGTCGGTACACGGTAAGGACTCCGACCGAGTCACCTGCAGCGGGTTTCAAGCGTCGAATCAGAATATAGCGAATGAAATCAAGCCAATGATTAGATGTCCATGAAACATCAATTCGCTTATCAGCTGCACATGCTCGAAGAGTCATCTATTTACACGACCAGGTCCAGGTAGGGTCTTGCAGTCCGTGCAGTCAACATCCCTACCGTGTCCCACCTCAAATGGCACAGTAGTAAGCCGGGGGCGCCCGGGAAATCTAGAAGACGCCGTTTGTAAAATCGACCACCTGCACCTTCTCAATGTCCCCGCCCAGACCCTTGACGAAGGCGAGATGATCGGGGTCCTTGTTCAGGTAGTACTCGCGGTCTTCCTCGGACTCGAACTCCATGACGAACACATGAGTGATGCCGTTCTGCGACAAGAGGGTTTAGTGCACGCAGAAAACAACTTTCTTGCAGGGCTGAAGGGAGTGAGTGCAACGTACGTTCAGCCCTTCGGGCGAGTTCTGTTTCCCGGCTCGGAAGGACTTGATGTATGCCGTCTGGGTGGTCGGATGAAGACACTTGTCCTTCAGCGCGACCAGATTGCTGCACACCTAGCGAATTATATCAAGGCCTGTTAGCGAGGATGTGATGGTCGGCTGGAAGTAATAGCACGGCACGCACTTCTTCAACCCGGTCGGGGCTGGTCGAAGACTTGAATTGCACCTGCACGATGTGGGTGATCATGTTGTCTGGTTCGAGCGAAACCGGTGGTTGTTGTTGGTGTTGTTGGTGAAGAGGGGAATGGGCTGGGCGGATAATTATGACGATGCCCTGATAACGCACCAAGTGGCGTGTGGGGAAAGAGGTGGATCAGTCAGCATGATCCTGGTCGGTTTTGTCAGTTTAGTTGCGAATTTGATTTATGTATGAGTGGACAGCTGAGCTGGAGGATTCCTTCACCTTCCATTTTCATCGACTTATCTGCACTGTATGACGGTTATCAGTATCTACTATATGTAACCGTAACTCAGCTAAATGAACAGATTAGTAAGCTTGGATGCAGCGTCAAGTCACACTGTGGGCATAAGCCACAGGCATTAGACTCAGAGTGCGATTAGCAAGGTGTAACGGTTATGACACTATTGACGGATAAATCTCCTTCTCATGTCGACAGGAGCTCGGGCAGATCTATGGTAGAATACCTATACGTAGGGACGAGTAGTTAGTGGTCTTGTCGGGTTCTTTGGATCAACTCCCGTCTCTGGCCTCGTATCCTCATGCTTATCAGGAGAGCTACTCAGTACGGACATACACTAATAACCGACGAGCATATGAAGCAGAGCCCCGACCTCGTCCAGAGATGTACATCTATGGTAAAATCGACCTACCTGACTTTGCAGAGAATATCACAAGAACCATAATATTGATGATAGTATTGACATGCAGGCAATGTCAGCCACTTTGCATAGATATACCGACACTCAACCTGCATTCTTGCCACAAGTATGGACAGCATGCTCCATAAAAGGCAGCATCTTGCCTTTGAGACTCAACGAGCAATACAACAACTCACTGGAATAAGAAGCCTCAACACCCCCAGACAATACAGACAACATGCTCATCTACTCCGGAAAATTCAGCTACTCCCCCTACGCCACCAACGAACTGTTCTCGGTCGTCTTCCGCGACAATGTCCAGACCGGGGACCGTGTGGCCGTCATCCTTCAATGATCCAAGGACGCAGGCGGGCAAGTGAAGTCCAGTTCGAACCACCACGGCACGGTCAGCAAGGTGTCTACCAATGGTTCCGGGGAGAAGGAGATCGAGATTTCCCAGAACGAGAAGGACAGCACCTACTATTGGTGGGGATTCCTGTGCATCAAACCCCGGATCATTGCTGATGAGTTATTGATTCCACTTCAGGTATAAGTGAAAAGTGTCCGGGGAGACCATGACCTTGAGTATGTGGAATAAAGGGGGAGAGGAGGTTACGAAGAATATCAAGCTGCAGCTTGTTTTCTTCTGATGGAAGCACTTGGCTCAAATGGTGGGGCCTTGTCGCTGTGGGTGTGTTGCTTGAGTCCGAGTCTACCAAATGGGTTTATCGGGGATTTAGCTGAGACCTACGTTCCTTTCTTTGGGTTTGATGAATGAACATCTATAGGGCTCAACTTGCGTCGGGCCATGTCCAGAGCAATGTTCGTACAAACACATGAATTGGCTGATGCGGCCGAGTGATCTTTGTGTAGAGCCACAAACATTAGAACTGGAACCGCATTCCAGTTTCCTTGTTTGGCCGGAAGTCGTAAAGTAATCGATGGTGACATGCGAGGTACGGTCTCAACGCATCTCTTGTTGAGGCTAGGGTACCAGAAATAAGTGACGAGCACCCCTTGACTAGGCATATGTGACTGGGATTTTGAGGCTACAGTGACAAATGACCGCTAGAGTGGCGTAGTTCTTGCTCAACATTTGACTACAGTGAATTGTACAGTACTTGTGACTTGTCGATTGAGCGGCCAATATATGTAACATGATATCTATGATTGAAATAAAGTGGAACCACACCCCTTCTTCAGATCACAAGGTCAAAAGTAAATCTCATGATATACGTAGAAGTATTAGGTGTGACCATTCGACCTAGTAGATGCCTTCGTCATACAAGGTTTGCTCCGAGTGATTGTGGATGGAACCGAGGGGCTGCCACGCGGCGTCGGGGACCATTCGGGCTTTCCGAGCCTGATCCACAGGTTGAACCTCGAGCCGGTAATATTATTAGGACATCTGACATATAACTGAGAGGGCCCTGAGCATTCTAGGCAAGCCCTAATAAGAGAAATGCATAATTATAGGCTCGGGGCAAATTGCAACCCTTCAGAGCCGCTCCCCGAGTGGGGTGGAAGACAGGATGCCACAGTGCCACCTCAGTCTGACAGGCGTCGGCTTCCCTTCTTCTAGAACCCGATAAATCGCCGACTGATGGTTATTGATCCCTTATTGGATGATCCGTGGATTGAATGGGCAGGACCCCGAGTCGGTGTTAAGGTAGTGGAGCCCTAACAAATAAATTGTCAAAATTGTCAATATCCCGGATGACGGCGACGCATGATGATGAGGGGCAGAAGAAGAAAGCGAAGTTGATGGAATGGAAATGGATCCCGACGGGGAGTAATTTCTATTCTCCGGGGAACCCCCTGACGGTCCCGTGACCTGATCCGGGCAGTCGGTACCGCCCCGGTCGGGGAGACTATCTCCTATCTCCTCCTCACATCCATAAATCTACTTCGTTCCAATTTCATGGTTCTTGACTCGATCCAATTCGTATTTCATCAACTCATCCCCTCCAGGGTGGGATAATTCTCCGACCTAGACTCTAAATTGGCTTGCCCCTTCATTCATGCAACAAACTTTCCATCCTCCGCCCCTCAGCGCATGCCTGCACTTTGGTCCCCGAGTTCAGGTCCCTCCTGTACTCTACACACAAATCGCAATCAGCTGCAAGTAAACCCGAACCAATCTCGAAGCAGCATCAACCAAAAAAAAATAAGAAAACATAATGCTCAGTTTCAGGTTTCATTGCGCTGATGGATGGGGATGGACCCCGGAAATCTAGACGCATGAAGTCATGAACAGCCTCCAGATGCAAGGCTGTCGATCTGTTGCGATGGGCCAATCTGCGATGGTCCCCGAGTCGGGGTCTCGCGGGATTGGATCCTGAGGATCCAAATCTCGGGGTTCAGATCCCTTTGGCTGCAGTGGATGTCTTCAATTTCCCAGAACGCCTCTCGCTCTTCCTTTATAATTCACTGCGATGTCGTCAGCCGTAGTCCCTGGATCTGACACTATGAATCAGTCTCTATCAAGATCATGCAGGATCCTGGAAAACCCTCCGCACTCGCCTGTGTACCCTGTCGGCGCCGCCATTTGAAATGCGATGCCCGCATGCCCATCTGCACTCGGTGCCAGAACAATAATCATGATTGTCGATATGTCCGATCACGTCGTGGGCTGCGGAGTAACAAGACGGGCCCTGGACCGACAGCGGAAGAGGAGGCCGATGCTCTGTTCTCGTCGAATATCATGAACTGGCTGGATGCCTCATTTTTAGATGTACATACATAGCCTTCTCCGCCAAGCACTTGCCGAAGACGTCGTCTTGCTAATGGAAGTAGCCAGATTCCCTCCTCGACATCCCTGACCTGAGTCTTGATATTTTCCATCAAGATCCAGCGCCAACATCGGCGACGCCCGTGCATATCCCTCATGTCGAGGATATCACCCATGATGCTATGATTCAGCTCTACTACCATCACTTCCATAGATCGCATCCTGTACTACTACCGAGACGGGCGCTGGCATCGTCCGTTGCACAGCATATACCAGATTATATTCCGGACATCATGCGCTACATCGGCAGTCACTATACTTCTGCTCCAACGCTCAAGGACAGCTTTTATCAGTCCGCTTACACCGTTCTCACCGCGCCGAAAGATGGCTTTCAAGCCCAAGGTCTCCTCCTACTCAGCATCCTGGAGCATTCGCATGGTCGCGAAGAGGCCGCACGACGACTTCTCCGGGAGGCCGTCCAGGTTGCATACGGCATCGGCATGCAGACCCAGGCGTTTGCCTCGGAGAACTCCCACGGCTACCCCGTGCTGGAGGAAAGCTGGCGACGAACCTGGTGGGAGCTCTACGTCACGGAGGGACTCATGGCCGCCATGGGCTCCGGGCAATGCGGGGTGCTCTCTTCAGGCTGGGAGGACTCCGATGTGTGGCTCCCTTTACCAGAGGAGACTTACAACATGGTTGCAGGAGGGGGTAGTGGTAGCGAAGTAGGCACAACCCTGACCCCATTCCCATAGAAGGTCCTGATCTGACAGCCAGCCAGACGAAATCCGAACCCTTGACCCTGTCCTCCCTCTCCGACTGGCCATCTGACCTCACCTCTCCCGTCTCCCGCATCCACGCAGTACAATTTCTTCGAGCTGTGCTCGAGCTCAACCAATCCCTTGACCCTGCAACCGAGACACAAACCGAGACGCTGGACGCACGGCTCGTCTCCCTACTCATGCGCTTACCCTTAACCCCCTCAATAACCGACGCATCCACTATCGACGAGATGGCCTTCCAGGCCTTAATGATCACTTACCTGTATGCTTTCCGATTCCATACACTTCTCTATCACCCATCGTACACATCCACTAAACACAACCATATAGGAGTCTAATCCACCTCCACCACCCCCATTCGACAATCCGCTTCGCCTCCTACCAACGCGCAAACGCGCAAACCACGAACGCGGCAAATAACCCCGCCTCCTCATCCTCCTGCACAAGACTCCGCGTCCTCAGCCCATCATCATCATCATCATCATCATCACCAGCATCCGCATCCGCATCCGCACCATCAACATCGAACCCCACGAACCCCATCCCCGCCCCCCACCTCCCGCTCAACATCCACGCCCAGAAGATGCTCCGAGCCGCCGACCTGATATCGAATCTAGCCACCCTTCCCAGCTCCGTACAGTCCCGCACCCCCTTCTTCACCTGCGCCCTGGCGCTCGCCATCGTCGTGCACACAGCGACCTTCATGATGTGCGTGCCCTCGCCCTCATCGTCCTCTGCTTCTTCCCCTGCTGCTCCTGCATCTTCCACCAAGGGAGCCAAAGAAGATGCCCTAAAAGCGCGCATCGAGCTCGGAGTCGGGGCCCTGCAGGTGCTAGGCCGGGTGTGGCCGCTAGCGAAACAGGTGAGAGGGGAGATGATCGAGCTGTATCGCGGGAAGTGATTTTCGCCGATCCGCCGATTAACCATAATTACCCGTCGCAACCTTGACGAACAAAAGACAAGGACAGTAGAGAATCAAATGAAGTGGCAACGGTCGCTTTTCCTTTCATCATCCTCACGTCTCATGTTATTCTTGCATTCGCATTTGGGAGGGGCTTTAGGTTAGTAGATAGCACAGCACAGCGCGATTCATTTCTTCTGGCATTATCTATATATATCCTACATCATATGTTCTTGAAATATGCAGTATATAGGAGATTTCATCGAGACGTATATTTTTTTTCAGATTGCTTTTGCTTTTTTTTCTTCCTTTTTTCTTTTTTCTTTCTTTCGTTTTTTTTTTCTTTTTGTACTTCAGCTTAGTGGAGGATTCTCTCAGTATTGGTAGGACCTTTCACAAAGTTAACAATCCCGGTGGCTCTACCCAGACATCTGGTTATGGTAGGTTATTTGAGTCGAGAATGACCTCACTCTGCATGACTTAGTAAATGCTAACCCAGTTGACTACGGGGAGAGGTTGAAAAACAGCGCTGTTTAAGGACGGCCCTTAGCTTAGCAAGCATGACGTTGGGAATGCATGGTGCTTTCTAAATGACAGGAACACTTCCATGATAAATTTGTGTATCTCGTTATATGTCTGGAATTCATGTATCAGAAGGTCAATATATACATGGGCATAAGTATTGTGTATCGGTCGGGGCGCTGACAATCGACCCGGCAATGGAAGAAAAAGGAATAGCCAGGGGATGAATGTCTCAAGCCCCAATAGGTCAGGGTGAAGAATGAAAGATGGACGTGAAATTAAATTTATGGTATGAAAAAGGAGATGTGAGTATACAAAGCGTCAAGGAGTCCGGGCAATCGGACGGGCATCATGTTGGGGCGGCCGGCCACTGCGGTCTCTATCTTCCCCACATGCGGGCTGCTTGCCCATTGCCTCTGTCGGGAGAGCCATCGAATGACCCCTTGCTTGAGTGATCGCTCGCCTCGCCCTCTACTGGGAAGGCCGGTTCGCTGGTGATCTCGATCGTCGTGTGCTGATACACCTTGCCCAGGGTCGACAGCTCGACTCCGCTGGGCTGAACGATGTTGTCGGTAGAGCCGTCGCGTACGGTGCGCTCCATATCCTCTTCCTCGTGGCGCGCCATGCGAAGGGCACTGATGTCGGTACGGTTGTATTTGGGGTCAGCGGTGATGGTTGTCAGATGATTGTTGTCCGTCTTGCGGTTCTTGCTGCTGGCGAATTTGTAGCTGTTATCGTGACTGGGTTCCGACTCCAGGATGAGATTTTTGCGAGTCAGGGTGTACAGTAAAGCGTCGACCAAGCCGGAACTGGTGATCATAGCACCGGCGACACAAAAGTAAGCGACGTTCGGAGCATCTCCCTGTGCGGTGGCCATGCGTCCGGCGGCAAGAGGAAGGGAGAGCACAATATAGGCGATCGGATAGATGACCATGTATCCGATAACACGACGGAGGCGCTTGAGACTCTCGATGTGGCTATTGCCCAGAATCGCGGACTGCTTGATGCGGCGGCGGAGTTGGAACCACATGATTGCGTAAAGACATACGGTGCCGAACTCCGCCAGGAAGATCCAGATGTAATGTGTCCATAATCGCATCGCTTCGTAGTCTTCGCTAATCCAGCACTAACGAACAAGTCAGATTAACACAACCGCTTGTTGTGGATGCCGGTCCTTACCCAGGCCCCCGAGGGAATAAACACATAACGCCCATGTGAGGCGAGTGGAATAATAACCAGAATGGCGACAAAGACCCAGATTCCCACCACAGATGCCACAAAGACCCGATGGCTCAGTTTATAACCTAGGGCCACCAAAAGGAATGTATGAATAGCAATCGCGAGCACAAAGAGACCACTAGACGGGTCGCCAATCTGTAGCCAGAGACCCTGGAGAAAACATCCAGCAGTATCGGCCGATATCTTGTTCTCCGATATCCACTTGAGGCAAATCAAGAAAGCGAGTGACTGTTGCAGATCGGCCAACACAAGGTTATAGATCAGAATGATGTATTGATTGTAACCGATATACCGTGCATAAGATCCCCGCCAGAAAACGAGTCGATAGGTGATGAAAGAGATCAGAGCGAGTGTCGCTAAAAATGAGAGAATGGCCATGACCGAGACGGCAATGAGACCCTTGCGCTGAGTGCTCGGAAGCGGATCGATGTCCATCGTTACCCCATCCCTCAAGTATGTACGAGGAGAGAGACCGTGGCTATCATCCTCGAATGCTCCCAGAGCATTCAGTACTTGAACAAGGCTCATTATTGCAACGTCTCTGAACGTGGCGAGTCCGGATGCACTGCTCTCACATCCCCCTCCTCAAGTAGATAACTAGTGATGTAGCAGCGCCCCGGAGGGAAGGACGACGCTTTTGAAGGGGCAAGGATCGTGGGTACTCGACGCTCGATGGATTGACCCAAAGTTTGAGTTGTTGTGAACAGACCAGAAGGTGCAATAATCGGCAAGAGCTCAGATCAGGGGGGGAACACTCGTTGCACGCTTTCCGAATCCAGGAGAAACGCTTATCACAGGTTCCTAGAAGTAAAAATGAGAGGGAAGACGGAGGAGGAGGGGGAGATAGTAATTCTCCGTGGCGGTCGAAGAGGGACGAGCCACAACGGTATGGACTGGATTAAAACTACCGGCAACGGCGAGTGGACCATTGTGGGGAGATGGGCCTCTAGTAAAGCTTTTTGATGGATTAGTTGATAATTAGCTGCCCATCATATCCTCCAGGCTCACTCATGCCCAGAAGCTATCACCCGGAATCGTTAGCCTCCTAGGGACGGAGTGAGTGAGAGACGACTAGCCCGGTGAGAAGTGGTTCCTGAAACCTTGGCCATGGGAACATCGCATTCAGCGACCTGGCAGCAAGCCCCATGCCAAGCATAGGGGACAACCGTGGAGAACAGACGGATAGGAAGAGACGGAAGGCATCCGGAGAGTGGACGACGGGTAGACGGGACTGAATTGTCTTGACCACCATTTACTAACAAAATAATAATGCCCGCATTGTCTATTGTGTGCTCCCCTCCTTGCCGGCGGAGATTGGAGTTGAGTCTGAGCGTCGGGTAAATTGAAGGATGAGCAGGGATGAGGAAGCAGTCTCTATGTCTATTGGCAGGATCGATTACCGCGGCTTGAGATGTCGCGTCGATGCAGGTGGCAGGATGCAGCCACAACCCCAGACCAGAGTTTGTTTGCCTTTCGCTTGTCCCATCTCGGTGAGGGCAGAGACCAGAGATGCCCTCTTAGGGGGAGCTAAAATCGTGAGCCTGTGAGTGCCTGTCCAGCTGTCGCCTTCCAGAAACTCGCCCGCCCCACCAGCTGAGACGCCGATCGCCTTCCCAATCCACGTTGGTCTGACTCGAAGCCCGTCGTCACCTTGAGGCTAGATTGTCGCGTGTGGACTGAATGAGTCTCGGAAAGTCTACCGCGGTATGTGAAATGCTTCTCCACAGGCAAGTGCTTCGAGTGACAAGAGCGTGCACGGCTTGAGTTCAAACATGCACACACCTAGCCTTTAGACGTGACCTCCCCGATTGGGGGCACTCGAGTAAGTTTTTGTCTCTGGAACTACCGTACGAGGCAATACGGAGGCTTGGCACAAGGCGAATGGATGAACGAGTGAGTTGAGAATAAGAATAGGACTGTGCGATCGCATAGTTTAGGCTCTCTGAGTAGCAAAACAGTGGTGGTGGTGGTATGACCCCATTGTCTCAGCTTGTCTCCTGGCGTAAGTGGCTAGTCCGCCACCAGGAAGGTTACATGAAGGAGGGAAAGGCTGGACCATTCTCGCAATGGGGATTAGCGGCGATTGATTATTAACTGATAGTGCGTAGTGCGTAGTTATCAGGGAAGGAAGACAAAGGAGAGGGAGAGAAAGGAAGAAAGAGGGAGCGGACGGAGATTACTTACTCTTGGTATGGGGTGAGGGCGGTTATCCCCGACCATTTCTTGGCATCTCCCCACTTTTCCAGGCCGCAGGAACAAATAAGCTGTCACTGTTGATAACGTTGCATACGATTTGCCTCACGCTCGTGGAGCCTACACTTTGGGTTAGCATGTACATACGGAGTACATGCGGGCAGTACTAGTGACAGTAACTTACAGGAGGCCTTGGTCTCTTCGGTTGAGCCAACCGACTGGGCATGGCTCGGCCAGTTTGACAGCGTCCAAGAACTGCACTGTACATTCGCATATGCATCAGTATCAGTATCAGACTGTCAGTTGTCCCAATGCACCACAATCCCTGGTCGGCTTTAAAAATCATCAATATGGCCTTGTACTACCGCATTCTCTTCGTACAATACCCACAGAGATATGCTCCTTCTGCCCTTTCCACCTACTCAGATTCACATGCACGGTACACTACGCAGTAGCTCCCCCCTTGTCTCTTGGCTGGAATAAGAGCCCTATGGCTTGAATGCCGATCTCGGTTGTTGAACGTTCCTTCCTCTACCGACACCATGGAGTTGGTTCCAAGTTGGGTGTTCAACCTTCCCCAGAAACTCCTAGTTACAGCAGTACGTACACATGCATACAAGCTCTGATCTATTCAACTCTGCTAGTCATGCAAGGGACAAGGATGATTTCGGAATCTTCCCGAGTCCATGGACATGGGGTGCACTTGGTCTATCTGGTTGCACGAACTCTGCCCTCCACCTTCTGCTCTTTCAGTCAAGATGAAGATACCATGGTTGACCCAGCGAGAGAGGTCTGGTAGCTGGGGGATCTGGCAAAACATGGTGCACCCTATGGCACCTGTGACTCTGCAAGAGACCGAACTCAACTGGCTCTCATTGTGACCGCTCGGAGTAATTCTTTCCGAGGGGTGGTGAATGTCGCCGCTCGATTCGAGACCCATTCATCACCTCTATTAAAATCGTGAGGGGGCAGCATCTAAACCAGTAATCCGGCTTGCTGGCCCTATGAGCTCTCTCAAAAGTTATCCTAAGTCGAAGAGGGTGGGTGCATTGATTGATCTGTGATGCGGCCGTCATCGGTGGTCAAATTGATCTCCCAACATCAACGAGCACAACACTAGTGAAAAGAAGTTCTTTGATAAACTGCAGCCAGATCTGCGGTTTCTTCAGCCGCGCATCATTGTCGTCGTTAGGAAATAGGGTGTGACTAGCCCAGATCCACATCATCCGAAGAGCGACAATCATTTTCTATTGTTGGCACCTTTCCCGAAGTCTGCTGCACCCCATACTCTAGTCCATCCTTATGGATTCCGCTACACAATGCAGATAAATCCCGCAACCTCACGGAGTCACGATAGGAGTTTTGCTATGAGTAAAAGCCTCCTGTGATCTGACTGCCTTTCTTGACCCCTTTCGAATTCGAGTTGATTGGTGCATGGATCAACGTGCAATTCTTGGCAGGTTCCATGGAATGCTGCCCGCTGGTTCGGGCCTGTCTGGCATCATCCCGACCGGTTCGAGTAGAGAAAGACAACTGGTTCCAAGCGGCAAGTCCGATTGCTTCAGGCCTCCATAAAACCTCTCGAGAGACACTAATCCAATTATGGCCACTGTGGCTAATCTTCCTCCCAGGACTTGACTGATGACATCGGCAGTTATTGCCGATAACTTTTGGCCTCGTAAAATCGTCGTGCGTGCCGTGGGTGCGAGAGCCCACCTAACCTACCTTGAACTGCTGCGAGCGTACACATCCATAGTACCGGATATCTCAACCCTGCAGCTCCGACTCGGCATTGCATCCGCACTGGATTTGATGATCGTCGACATAGAAACTGTCAAAGCTCGCGGATCGACATGGTTCCCTGAATCGAAGTTCTGCACACTGTGTGGGTCTGGATCTCATCGCATCGCATCGCACCGCATCGCATCGTGGTCGAACTGCTTGTGCCTTGTGGGCTTTCCCATCGCATCCTCAACAGTGGTAGCAGTGGATCAAACACGGCACATGGACCACATCCTGATTTTCCCACACGAAGATCGATCTCAGGGCTCCTCAGCCTCAACCAAAACCGAAGAGACAAAATACCAACAAAATTCGCGTATTTATCACGAGTAGACACGGGACATCTAACTTTGCCCCTTCTCCCCGGAAAGAACAAGCGCCAATGACAATGCTTCAGCCAAATGATACAATGTCAATGTTATCTTCTCTGTCGGCAAGACCCCGACAGGTGGTTGCACCGAATTTCCCTTCTCAGCACCTGAGATAATTTCCACAGGGCGGAAGATGGGTCAAAAGAGAAAAACTCTATTTGAAATTCCCATAGTCTCCCATAACTACTAGTTTACCCCAAGACGGGGCCCAGAGCTATTCTCTTTGACTTTCACTAGCGGCACCGACGGCAGTTTTAGTCGAGCCCAATGGGGAGGGAGGCAGGGAGAAGTTTGTTTGCACGGCAGCTTCCGATCGGACCTGCGTCTTGTCTGTCTGTCTGTCTGTCTGTCTGTCTGTCTACCTCCTTGCCTGGCTGAAGGAAAGCTTCCGAGATCTCTCTCGTATTGAATGAGATCAGGGTCCCACGCAGCCATGTGGCCTGTGAAGTAATCCTATCTTATCGACCAACTTTGGTTTCATGCTCGTTGAGCTATGGCGGGTCCTTCCACCATCACCTCTTCTTCTTTCTATCTTCTCAACATGAGCACGAGTATACTCCGGACTGATCATATATCTGCCAAGTACCTCAAGCCACTTTACACGCTGCACCCACAAAATTGTCTCCTTGACAAACCCTAGCCAATCTACGAGACCTCACACGGCGAGACCAATGCAGACATCCACATTCTTCTAATCCACAAAGTCGCGAGCACCTTCCCTCTCCATCAACACAGGAGACTTTAAGAACATGGACACACCACCCCATCCCGGATACTAAGCACCCAGTCGACTCAAAAATGGTTCCTGGTCTCCTGTGTGTCCTGAGCTGAGCCTCTTCCCCATCTAGCCTGTCCCCTTTGTATTCAACAAACCCCCACCCTCCCTTTACTACTTTCGTCTCCGGTCCACACTCCAGGCAGTAAGTCTACCTCAACCCACCATCAGCCTCAGAGTCAGGGTCAGGGTCAGGGTCAGGGTCAGGGTCCAGTGCAACAACAGCACGTCGATCATCCTCAACCTAGAACCATCCGATTCCAAACTCGAGCTCTGATGATCCTCACATCACCCCCCAGAGAAGAAGGTCCAAATAAAGAAACCCCGTGATGAATCAGACCTCAAGGCGTGGATCCGGTAGTCTCGGCCTAGTTACCCTAACCCAACCTAACCCTTTTGCTCAGTCACCCTCTCTCCCCTGTTGAAACTCTAAGGCTCTCCACGGCCCACCTCAGTTAATCTACTAGGCCGATAAAATCTCCTAGGGCTGTGGAACTCGGGGGGGGGGGATGTTCAGATGAGCAGAGCAACTAGCTATCATCCCTTAAACCCCAACTCCCTCCTCCACCCTCTTTCGTATACCACGGCACACAAAATTGGGACCCGGGCTCACCTGCCTGAACGGGGACAAAGTGAATGAGTGAGGACCCGGCGAACCGGGAAGCCCTGGAGCGAAAGACCCAAACCTCAAGACCGGAACTTCTATCAAAGCTCCCATGCGAAGCACAAACCAGCTCATCACGCATAGAACATGATATTCATTGACTCATGAATGCCTGTTAGAATACACAGGGAAATAAAAAAACATTAGATGTCCGGAGAACATGACAACAGCAAGAGAGGAAAGACAGAGAATCGAAAAGAGTCGAAAGATCCAAGAGTCATATCAAATCAATTGTCCTCATGTACAGCTCAACTCCTTCCCTTTAGCTGTCGGGAAAATGAATACTAATCCATGCTTTCTCTCTCTCTCCACACCCACCATGGGTGGGTAGGTACATTAGATACTGAGGTTAAATTAACGCACCGTTCCTCACCATCCCACCATTCCATCATTCCATCACATCCTCTTCATGTCGATTCATTTCATGCAATTCGTCGCGGGGGGGGGGGGGAAATTTGATCTGATCAATAAGATCCCCATTGCTCATCAAATGTCGTTAACGCTGTATTTGAGAAAAAAAAACAAAACACAAAACACAAAAACAAATCGTAAAGGCAGAATGCAAAGAAAAAGAAAAACTCGAGAAGGAAACAGCGCCGATGGTCCACTGCTCCCGGAGAACAAAACACACGTAGGAGGACCTAACCACTTAGACCCAACTTATCTCCTTCGAGTTCCCCGTCGACTGTCGTATGCCTCTTCCTCGTCTTCCTCCTCAACGGGGGCCGGGGTCCGCCGTTCCGTGCGCCGCTTCGGACGACGCCGCCGGTTAGAGCTGATGTTACTTGCCGAATCATCCGGGGCCAGGGACACGCCATCGTCGAAGAAGAAGTCGTCGTCGGCGCCGTTTTCCCAGAGCCCGAAGCCGGAGGCGGGTGTGCCCAGACGGGCCTCGACGAAGGAGCCGCGGCGGTTCTGGTTCGCGATCGAGAGGCCGGCGCCGCGCTCGCGCAGCGCCCGGCGCACGACCTCGGCCTTGCAATGCAGGGCCTCGAAGGCATCTTCCAGCGCCTCCATCCCCAGGTAGATGTCTCGCTCGATCTCCGCCAGCGCTGCGATCTCCATTTCCTCATCGAGAGCGATGGGGCCTCCGAATGATGCAGGGGCTGGAGACGGGGACGTGCCGTAGGGCTGGCTGGCCGGTCGGGACACTCCGTCCAGCTGGCTGGGCGTTGGATCCCGCGAGATACCACCCGTCGTGAACGGGGTATTGGACCGGGTGCTGCTATAGCGCGAGGGGGTTGAGCCGGACGGGAAGGAGTCCTCGGCGCCACTGCGTAGAAACCCGTCAAAGCGACCGGAGATGAGAATGTCCCATTCATCGTCGCTGATCGCCGCTAGGGTGGCTAGGACATGGTGCATGCCAGGGTTGTTGAGCATGTAGATCGCAGTTTCAGGGTCCCGCGGTGGGGATGACAGTCGGTACAGTCGTTGAATCGCCAGAGTCGAGGACACCAATGGAGTCGGTCGGGGGCGTGACTGTCCCTCGGGCCGCGGTGTAGGTGAGGTAGAGCTGATTCCAAGGATAGCAGAGAAGAGTTGCCGCTCCTCGGGCTCCAGATGGGTCAAGATGGCGAACGTCAAGGTCTCATCATCAACCTCATCGGGTGCGCTTGTGCCTCCACCAGACTGCTCACTGAGCCATTTATCGACGGCCACTTTCGTCTTACGTGACTGCCGAATGTAATGCTCCCGATACTCTTCTGGCACGTCGATATCCAGTTTCTGCATGGGGATGTGCTCGTCACCTGACCAATCCGGGTCCACGACCGTCGGAGACAATCTGAAGGGTGGCCAGTTGGGGAGCTCGCGACGGCCGGATACCAATTCAAGAACCTCTCCCCAGCTCACGCCCGCTGGGCGCTCATCGTGTTCTTCATGTTCGCACATCAGACAATTGCATGATTCGGACGAGATATCGCGAGCAAATACGGCCTCCAAACGGTCGAGAAGTCGCCGCGCTACTGATCGATATCCCGTTGCAACGGCGAGTGAGCCGTTCTTCGTCATAACATGCTGATAGTCTTCCAGGAGCCGATTGAGAGGCTCGAAAATCTTGCTCGCCACGAGTTGCGGCTGCACTGGGGGATACGGCGCGGCTTCCGAGCCGCTCAAACTCTGAAGGAGTGATTTTGGCGCGCGATGATCTAAGCCACCGTGCTGCAAAAGGTAGTCGACCTTCGGGATGGATATAGGCACCTCCGGGGGCGGAGGCGGAGGCGGAGGGGCTCCGTAGGCTGAGTTCGCGGTCGGAGGCCGCCCGTAATCGTATGCATCTTCCACTGGGCTCCGGAATGCGGACCCCGGGCGATGAGACATAGACGACCGTGTTTGGGTACGAGAAGGCGGCTTCTCCGGGCTTCTGACCTTGCGGGACGTGGTAGACTGGTGCGCGGGCGCGACCGTCGTAGCCTCCGACCCATTTGTTGATTCGAGACCAATGTCACGTACGGTTGCTGGGGAGCGTGGCGGCGTCGTGGCGGTGCGACTGGAGGGTCGTTTGGGCGGCGCTGTTTCCTCCATGATCTTGCTCTTGGAGGACTTGCGGCTAGCTGTGCGAGACGGCGATTCCTTGTCATGGCTGGAGCGCTTGGTTTTCGTCGAATCCGATCGCACTGTCTTGCTTGACTTGGCCCCTTCATCCTTCTTTGACCGCAGACTCGAGGACGAGCGAGTGGATTCGGCTCGAATCCGGATCTTGGTCTTCGGTTTCTCCTCTGTATTCTTCGCGTCTTTATTATCACAGACCGTGCTGCCTTGGCGGGATTGCTGGTCGACGCTCGTCAATGGGGGACTCGGGGGCGCATGCTTGTTGCTGTCCGATCGATCATGGCTTCCTCCGTCAGCTGCCTCTTTGCCTTGGTCGGTCAGGTCGGTCGGATCTGGGGTCGGGATGTTCGGTTTGCCGACAGCTTCCCTGCTGTGAGCCTTGGAGAAGGTTGGATAAGGGAGGCTGGTTCTCGATTCGAGGAAGGACGCCGTGCCGGAACGGCTGGCGCTGTCTATGCCGGGCATTGAGGCACGACGTTGCTGGCTGGTGTTAGAGGCGGAGAGCGAAGGGGTCGAGGAGCGGTCCGTGGGAGGGTCGGGAGGTCGTTCCTTGGTTGGGGAGCGGGTAGACGATGGTCCGTGGGACGAGCGGTGCTTGTGTTGTTTGGATTTGGAAGAGACGCTCGAGGAAGTCGATGCCTTGCGAGTCCGGTCCCTGTCGCGATCTCGGTCATTAGGTCTCAACGGTAGATGGAACATGACGTGGGTGTGGGTGTGCAATCAGGCGGAAGGCTTCGAATCGAGGTGGATATGGAAGGTTGGAAGATAATCTTCCCCCCTCAACACAACCCCTTGTCTCCTTGCTCTTCGTCCCCACTCTTTCGCTTTCGATCGGGTTGTATTGTGTTTGTAGTAGTTACCTCGAGTTATAGATCGCGAAGGCGGGATGAGAGGCCCAGCTAAACGGCTCTCACGGCGAGCAAAAGAAGAAAGAGTTTGTGTGGTGTCACAATGCGAGAAGGAGATCCAGATGATCCGAGAGCCGGACGGACTTTCGTCGTCTGGCGCTTAAGAGATCTGGAACCAAACGCAACTCCCAGTGGTCGAATGCCCAATTAGGCGCCTGTGTCAATCCACCGAGGGGGCTGCTGCAACCGATGCAGCATCCCGTGAGGGGCGCGGAGGGAAACGAACGATAAGGGTCGGGGAGGGCGGAAATTGGAAGATAGTTCAGGCGCTTGAACAGAAAAATAGAGAGAAGCGACGAATCAATTGTGGGAATATCGTGCAGTATAGTGAGTTAACGTTAATGATCCAAAGAAGGAGAGAATTGCAGATGCAGTGACCGTGCATGGAAGGAGATTTGGCGGGAGGATCGATTTTGCGGTGAGAGCGACTAGACTGAAAAGAAATAGAAGAGACACACTGATTGACTCCTCCCCGCAGACTCCTCTCCAACTCGTTTGATTATTGCAACCCGATGAAGGGTCCCCGAAACTCCCTATGAACTGTGGACTAGAGAGCCACTAACCAGACTAGTACAGTAACTACGTAATATTCTAGCGGGCAGCGAGGAGGGGTTCACTAGACTACTTGCATGAAGCACCACCTCAATTCACACATTAGTACAGACAAATTAAGTGATCGGTCATTTAAAGGACCAGGTCTCGACTGCAGATAAGAGTTCCAGGACAATCAATGGAAGTTGTTGTGATTGAGACCAACCAACAACAACAACAGAATTATCGTCATCAATCTCACCACCGAAACTTAGCGGTACATTCGACACCTACACCTCAGGCATCACCGCTTCCGGCGGGGATCCCGGGATGCCTCAGGCTGCATTGGGCTGCGGAAGAGATGGCGCCCATCATCGTCATCATACTACGTACTACAAAAAGTCAACTGTACGAAGTGATTTCATTTTTTGGTGCACCCTTTGACTTCTTTGACCAAGTTCAGCGTCCCTTTCTTGTCGAGTTCGATCAGATCGACTACATCCCCGCTCTCCGTTTCGTTTATCGTCAAGATCTATGAATTTCTATCGCATAGTAGATCCGTGGGTCGGGGTTCTTGAAGGAGATGACATCCAAGCTCTATATGCTTGTATATACTTCTTAGTCTCCAGTATTCAAAGTATGTGACGGTCAGTCCCGGACCGCGGGCCGCGTAGGTAACGAGTGACTCGATCAGACGGCAAATCCTCCCGAGTCCAGCTGCCTGGGCTCCCCAGCAGCATCAAAGGTTCCATTCGGAAGAACACGGATTGCTTGCGCTGAGCTCTGAGTCGGTGCAACCCATGTCACGTTGTGCCCGCGCGCCTTCATGAAGGCCACGGTCTCGTTGTTGTAGCTATACTCGAACGTGACCTGGTTGGGGATCAGCTGATCATGCAGACGGGGCTGAGCCAGAGCTTCAGCCGCCGTGAGACCACCATCAACAGCGTGGATGATGTTCTGGATGGTCGCGGTGATGATCCGACTGCCGCCCGCCGAGCCAGCCACGAAAAAGACAGTACCGTTAGGGTGAGTCACAATGGCTGGCGTACTGGACGACAACGGGCGCTTTCCAGGTCGGATGAAGTTCGCCTCAGAGGGAACATATCCGAACGAGTTGGATGAGCCAGGAATAGAGAAGTCTTGAGAAGTAAATTAGCAGAGAAGATATAAGGTCTGGTTGCCTTCACCTACCATCCATCTCGTTGTTCATGATAATTCCTGTCTCGGGGACCATAATCTTGCTCCCAAAAAGCAAGTTAATCGTTGTGATTGCAGATACAGTAAGACCTTCGTGATCGATGGTAGCAATATGAGAGGTCCCCGGGCTGCAGACACCATTAGCTTGGCTCAGAAGGCGTGTCCTTGAGGTACGCACGTATCCAAGCTTTCAATACCTCGCGGGTCGTACGCTTTTATATCTTGCGTCTTAGAGTCGGAGATCTTCGCCCGGATTTCATCGATAGTAGATTGCTCAAGCATGTTACCCTGGTACTCTCCCATGTCGTCCACAAAGTCAGGGTCTCCCAGGTTTGTTCGCTATCATAGAGTCAGCCCAGAGTCACACAGAGCCTGACATATTTTGTCTAGAAGGAGGTGAGACGTACCAGTCCATATCCGAACCGAATGGCTTCATCCAGCCGATGAATGCTCAGGTTCACATTGTCTGGGGCGAGGAAACTGTCGTAGGTATCCAAAACTTTGAGTATGTTCAGTGCAACAGTTCCACTAGATGGAGCAGTGGTGCTGGTAATTCGGTATCCACGATAGTCTATCTGTGAGATGTTCCGGATTTCGATGGCATAGCTACGAAGGTCATCAAGAGTCATCGTGCCATTAGCTGCTTGTACCGCATTGACCATCGTCTCTGCAATATATCCCGAGTAGAATGCATCAACGCCCTTCTTAGCGATCATCCCGAGGGTGCTGGCATAACGCTTCCGTGTCATGGTATCGCCGAGGCCGAGTCTAGTTCCGTTGGGAGCAAAGTCAATTGCCCATGTCGGGTCATTAGACAAGAAGTCGTCGCCGCCCGCGTCGGTGATCGAGGAAGCCATGTAGCGTACTAGATCCGGGCCAACCGGAAAGCCCTCATCCGCGGTCTTGATTGCTGGTTGAACAACGGCTGGCCAAGGAAGTAAGCCATACTTCTGGTGGAGGTATTCAAGACCACGAAGCTCGCCTGGAACACCACTGTAAATCTTGTTAGTATCAAGGTCTGTCATCGTGGGATGAGAAGCTGTACCTTGCAAGACCCCCAGTGACAGCTGCTTCCGTGTTGTTGACAAACATGTCCTCATATGCTGCCGCTGGGGCAGTTTCGCGAAAATCGATAAACTCGAACGCGCCGTTAGGGTCTTTCACTAGAATGAAGCCACCCCCTCCGATCCCGCTGTGATACATGCCTGGGCGCAAGACAAATTAGCTCCAAAAATTCCACTACCGCCAGGGAAGGGGAATGACTAACCCACAACCCCTACGCAGAGCATCGTTGCCACCATCTACCGGCCTTCAGGTCAGCACGACTTTCAACTGATCGTTGCCACGCGGGATCTCCGTATCGTCTAAGTCAATAGACTTCAGAAACTCACAGCATCAGCAGCGTTCCCGCCTTGTAGTAGTATATCGGTTCCGTGGCGACTGCAGATTGCACTCTCACTCGCTACAGCGCCACGCTTGCCGTCCTCCAACTCATAGTCCCAGCTCAGCTGACGAGTCGCATAGTCGAGAGGCGACGTGAGTACGTTCGGCAGATGTGTGACCAAGACAATTAAGACTAGTGTGGTTGGCAGGGTAAATCGCAGGATACGGAACATTCTCGACCTGTTCCGGGGTTTATCGTGCGATAAAGCCGACTGAGTGCACGCGACCGGGCGTTCCAAGGCCTCAAGGAGTGGCTATGAGAGAAATGCAGGTTAGGGATTTAGAGACCAGAAGTAATTCTTGGAACAGGGGAGGACTTCGTCTAAGTACCTGCTTCTCTGCATCTTGGTTGTCGATGAGATCCGGTTTGCAACCCTGCATGTTTAGTATACTTGGTGGCCGGATGCGGTTACTGGAAAGAACGATGGGCCTGGAACTACCACTATAATCCCGAGATGCCAGACAGACGGGGATCGACAATCGGAATAGTCAGCCTAGCTTAGGCAGGATAAGATACAGGTTGAAAGTATGAATGACAAGTGAAGGATACGAAGCAAAGAAGATTCGGAACCGGTTATGTTGATTTAAAGAGGCCGAGGGCTCTCTGATCATTCACACCCCCTTCCCCCCATTATCGGACTGACTCCAACGGCGATAAGGACCACGACAGTTTAGTTTCCTGCAGAGTCCCGCATGCCTGGTTCCTTATCAGCCTCGACCAACAGCAATCCGAACCGCCACTTCGGCCTGGTCACCCGATGGCACACCAAGCTCATCCAAAGGCGCAATACCTGCCTCATCCAATCAAATTTCATCTTGAAACGTGACGTGCATACTTTGGGGTAATCAAATCTCTGAATTCAGCAAAGCAAAAATTTGGTCCGACTTGATGCATTCTTCAAACCAGGGCTCAGGTTCCGGAAAGCCGGAGAGTTTCTGCTGTTGTCAACCATGCACCTTGACCTGGAGTGGGGTTTTGGCCACGCTAGAGATTATGACTGGTCATTCGAAAAGTTATCTGGGGGCAACGGGAGGTCGCGATAAGCCTCTCCTCGCGTCTCTTGTCCTCGTGAGCGCCCTTGAAAAGAAGTATGGTAGCCGTGACGCTTTGCAAAGACAACCATACTTCTTCGGGTCAGAGAGAGTTTGGGGCTCTTGTTGATCATTCCGAACGATGATACTGACGAGAAGCGCCCTTCGTCAATGCTAGAAGTGAGTAGACTGCGTTTGGAAGACTTTTAGAAAGAAAATGTCCCAGGTCATGAGGTAATTCCCGGGCGGCCCGTACCCAGAGAATCACCTTTGGATTGAGACAAGGTCTCGGATGCACCTTTCAAGCAGAAAGAAGAAATCCAGATATATCGAAGTCAGTTTTCAACCATCTCGGAACGTCTACTGGAGCACCAATGCCGCACGTCTTTCGTAATGACAATATTCCTTGCTCTTGCTTTTGCCGTACCGAGTTTACCAAGTTCAAGGCCTGATCTGCCATGAATCGTGTTCTTTTCAGTGAACCTAAAGCCTTTGAGGCTGGTTGAGTCCAAGCTGACACATATAAAACCCCATCATTCTTCGAGCTCAACTGCGCTCCTGGTCCACGAGATAGTGCTGGCCCAGATCGAGGGAATCTCATCTTCCGGTTGTAGAACGGTCTCGATGAGACGACGGCCCCAGTCTCGGACAAACCATTTGTCTGAGAGCAAATGCAGTCCAACGCCGTAGTGTAGAAACAGAATACGAGCCACCCAATCACCCTGCTTGAGTAGATCGATGTAGGCCTCGCTAATATTGATAGGCCATGCGATTATACCACCGTTCGGGCCGCCAAATGGCCATCTCTTGATTGCTTCATGAAGAATCTGCCAAGTAGCCAGGTATATTGCCTGATTTGGTCCACCGATACTGTTAAACTTCTCTTGAACGCCCTTCAAGGAATCCATGGTTGCACTTGAAGTAGATTAGCATCTGTGAAGTAACTGCTGCCAGACAGGCGAAAGTAACATACCTCCGAAGATTCAGTTGGGATTCCCGAACTCTATAAGAAGGTCAACTCCCCAGATCAGGTCAGAGGTGAGAAGGGTGAGGCTTACTGATAAGGGTTGCCATCCTGATCGACTTCATCGTCCTTCCATTTCAACCATCCTTGCAAGTCACCCCGATACTCCATGCCGTTGAGTTGCACAAATAAGAGTGCGCAGCCAGCAATGAGCTGGCGAATCTCTAGTACATGAGACAACGGCTCGAATGTCTGTCTGTCTTCGGAAACACAAGGATACGCCGTTGCACACAGCATGATGAAAATGGAGCAGATAAAAGCTGGCCCACAAGTCTCCGGGGAGATGTCCGCCAAGACTCGACTGAAGGCTGAGCAGGCGCGGCTCTGATATTTCAAAGCAATCTCCAGCCACGACCGGTTGTCATGCTGCTCCAGATAGGCAAGATGAAGAGCAGATAATGCCAAAAGGCTGTCCATCAGGAATGGGTGGGACACCACGATTCGCGGGATGACGACTTGGAAATGGTGTGCGTCGAGGCGACCTTGACAGAGAGTGATGTATGTCTCCGTAAGGTAATGATGGAATAATCTCATTTCGAGCATTCGCGTCTGCGACGAATCTGCTTCTGGGCCGGATACTGCCTCGGGTGATTCATGTGGTGTGGAAGGGTTTTGACCATCCGCATCATTGGACGGATACGTGCAATCCAATTTTCTCTTCTTGCACAACCCACATCGAGGCGTCTCTTCATCGCACTGTGCACTACTGTCAGCGACTAAACTGTCAACTTCTGGTCGGAAGCAGAGACTAAACGGCCGCTGAGTGAACCCCAGGGTATCCGGTTGGCGGGAAGATGGGATTGAGATAGTAGCACGCAAGGACAGCCACGGCTAGCTAGTATGAGATAGAAATGGCAAACCTTCACATGTCGCTTCTTACACTGAATGCAACCCTTCCGGGATTTGGTGTGGCTGCGGCGCGAGGGCATTAGGCTCGACTCAAACTCGATAAAAACTTAATCCGGAGTCAGCGTTGGGATATGATGCTGTGATCCTCCGGAGAGTAGAAAGCTATTGGATGCCTCGGGGCTAATTGAAGTTCTCCCGGTCAAGACAACAATTACTGTATCATACGGTCGGTTGAGCGAACCGGAATGAATAGTAGTAGTAGGAATGTGAAACGAAATGCTTCGTTGCGGAAGCAGTTCGATGCGATTAAATAACTTGTTTGAAACTTTCAAGTCTGGATGGGACCGATTTGGTGAGACTTGGTAGTTCATGTAGTAGCGGAATATAATAAATGGAAATAACATACCACGAGCCTTGAGCTGAGGCGATGATTGCGCTCCAGGGAATAAATAGAGGAGAGGCAGTTGGTGCCGAACAGCGGCCGGCTGGGAAGGTGCAGCCGGCCTTAGCCCCAAGTAGTCTTCTCTGATTTGCTCGTCAGCCCACTGGGGCTGACTAACTGTCTGCTTATGCTTAAATTAGTACAGGTACAGTACAGGTACATAACGTTACAGCCAGGTACGTCAGCCTGGCTAACTTAGTGACTACAGCGAGTATCACATTGTTTTGTATGGGTGTCTGAGGCACTTGTAGCTAGGTACCTAGGTATACAATATATCTTTATGACAAAACTAGCGATAGATCACGGCATACCCTGAATAACAGAGCATGTTTATATCTCAAAATAGACACGAAGTGACATTGATTTGCCAAATCCCGATTCTATCGACTTTTGGTCATTCTAACTAAGCACACGACCGGCCAGCTATGCACGCTAACCATAGAAAAAGCTGAACAGCAGCGAAAAACATTAAAGTCGTGAACGTTTTCAAGTAGTCAAAGCGAATGGTAAGGGGAACCGAGAGATTGAAGTAAATGAAGAGGTCATTTCCTCGCGCATGGCATCATTCGAATGTTGTTTGTGTATGCAAGAGATAAAAGTGGCTCTTCCATCCACGAGCAAGCCGATAAATTAAGCATCCTCCTTTTCTCCATCCGACTTAGGATCCCGCACTGACTCGCCACGACTCGCATCAATAATCGCACTGGAAGTCCTCACTTGCTTCACACCCGACCGCAACACCAATTTCTCCTTCTTAGCTTGAGGTTGGGACGGAGCGGGGGAATTCCATGAGGCGCTGCCATCGTCACCCGCAAGAGCAGAGTACATAGTGGTAGACCAAGAACTGCCACCAGGTGTTTGGAGACCAGGCGTACTGCTCCGCGAGCTACCAAGGCCGTTACTTCTCTTTGAAGCTGCGACCTGCGCCCAGCCGCCCTCGCCGTTCGCATTCTGCTGGGCCCGTGCAGCTTCGCGCTGGGCCTTTGCTTCCGCTGCAGCGAGTCGCTGCTCTTCCTGTTCCTTGAGGCGTTGGCGATCACGTAACTTGACGCATTCCCCGACGCTCATACCGCCAATACCAATGGTGGTACCGTTGCCCATCCCCAGAAGGGGGGGAGTCCAGGCAGTGGGTTTGAGAACAAACACATGGCGATGAGGCTCCGGATCGAAGCTCTCACTGGCAAAGCCCCAGTCAGCGGCGAGGGAGTGTGCGAAGGCACGGAGGGGAGATTTGGCGGGTTGGAAGCGGGTGGAGCGATTTGCTGGATTCTTGTTCGTGGCGAGGCTGTGGAGGGTCGATTCATAGGACTGTAGAGTGGATAGAGGATACGACGATGAAAGCTGGAGGTAAATATCGAGAGTTTCAGCGGAATAGGGTAGGTTGGTGGAGGTGAGCGCCTGAGAAACAGTCGTCGTCGGATTGATATCGACGCCAAGCGCAGACGCCAGAGAACGGTTACGCTCGAGGCGGGCGCATTCCTCGTCGCACGCCAGCGGGGACGCTGATGGAAGTCGCTGCGCCTGCTGGAGGTGGCCCTTGGTCACAACAGCCTTGGCTGCATTGCAACGTCGCTCCTGTCGAAGTCGTCCACAGCTACATGTTACTGCGACCATGGATGAACAGGGGGTTTTCTCGGGGCACGGATAAGGAGCGTGACACTGGTCAGAACAGGGGTGACCACACAGCGAATTAGTCTTCCCGCAAGCTTGCTGACAAGGCTGGGAAGCATCTTCACAATCACCCGGTCGATGGCAGTTCTTCTTACAAGTATGAGAGCCACACTTGAGGAGCTTGCCGCAAATCTGTCCGCACCGTGCATCTGTAAGCCAGCACGGCTGATTCTTCAGCACACGTTTGCCGCACAGACACGCCTTTTCTGTCAAGAACGGGCATTTCGGGCAATTTTCATCGTCGGTGTGGCAATTATGGGGCGTCTGCGGGTGACCGCACGGTTTAACGCGCTCACAGGGGTGTGAGCAAGCTGGAGGCTGTGTCCCACAGGGCAGAGGCGGATACAAGACAGATCGACCGCAGTTACACGAGATCTCTTCGAATATTGCCTCCCTGCAAGTGTTACAGGGCCCTTTGTGACAGATCTCCGGGCATGTGTGCCGCCCGCATTTCAGCATACGGCCACAGACCCGGGTACAGATATGTTCAGCCTCAAAATCCTCGTCGCTTGGTCGAAGATGGGATTTGAGCTTTCGCCGGATAGCCTGACGCTCAATTGCCTTCTGTTCGCCGGGGCAACAGCGCTCTGCGCACGCATGGCGACCGCAATGCAAGCCAGCTTTACATATACGGAAACATTGAGGTGGCTCAAAGTCTCCCGAGAAACAAGTCGTCCGGAAGTCATTGCGGCCACATCGGCAATAGATCGTGACTTTCTGCAAACAAGGCCCACACGATCCGGTATGGCAGACTTGCTCGCAGGAATGTCCGCATGGTAAGGACTTCCCGCAAGGCTTCGAGCAATTGGGAATGGGGTCTTCGCAAGTAGTTCGGGGCGAAAAACCCGCAACGTCGGTTAGACATGTTTTCCCACACGGGCAGAAAAGCACGACATCGGGCGATCGGGGGCAATGAGCGGGATGCGCATCCTGGGCGTGACAGGACTTTTGACACGAGTGTAGCCCACAATCAAACTGTCGATTGCACTGATCACCACAACTGAAACATCCAACCCATTCTTCAAGCTCCCCCCCGCCGTCGTCTTCGCTGATGCGCAGGGCTTCACTATCCAACTCCTCATCTTTGGAACTGCAGAGCATCTCAGACTGCGATTTCCCGCAATAGCAGCGCGCATCGATTTTGACCTCGCAGGCACCGCAGAGGCCCTCATGGCACGGCCGTGGGCAGGTGTGCTCACCACAAGGCAGCAGATCGCCACATATCTCGCCGCAGCTCCATCCATTATCGTAGTCGGTGTCCTGGCAACGCTTCGTAGATGAGTTCCTCCCACAAAAGCAATCCTGGGTCGGACCCATAGCAGTACAAGGAGCGCATGGACCAGCATGGCACGTCGCATCGCAAGGGTGTGGACAACCTTTTCGCGATCGCGCGCAGGTCTGTCCACACGAATGGGGCGGGAGACCAGGAAATGAGCGTGGGTCAACCTCCTTCTGACACCAACAAGAGTAAGAGGAAGGAAACACTTCATGCGGCAGATTACAGCCCGGGCAGCGCCAAGCACGAGGAGCGTTGCTTTCGCCCTCCTCGCCCCGGCGACGCGCCGCATCCTGAGCCGCCGCGCCTTCGTTCCTCGACCATTTCTTCACACAGCTCAAGTGGAAAACCGTCCAGCACAATCCGCAGGACCAGATACGAGACCGTTTGCCCAACTCAGATGTACATATCGGACATTCGTAGAGGTTGTGAGCGATGTCTTCGTGGATTCGAGTGGCAATGTCCGGTGCCGATGATTTCGTCGTAATCTTGGGCGCAGGCGGAGGAGGGGGCGCGGATCGAGGCTGGCTTGGGTTTTTCGCTTTCGATTTGCCCTTTCCACTCGCAGGAGCACGTCCACTTTGTCGAGGTAGTTCTCCGGCTGGCCCTCCTGGGACGAATGCTGGCGCATCTGCTCTCAATCCAGCAATGTCCTCCGCGCCTGCGCTCTGGGGATCGACATCTTGAGTCTCCTCTGACTGCTCTGATTTGGTCAGTCGACCCTCGAATCTTCGCCCCCCAGTAGTGACCGCTGAGTGGTCAGCACCGCCGCGTGCTTGACCATGTCGTCGGCCTCCATTCGACTGTGCGCCTGCGCCTCTCGCCCCTCTTCGGCTTCCCCTCGGTCCTCTTGGTGGATGGTTTGCGTCGGGCGCAGTCTGTGTCGCAGAAGGTTCGTTCTGTTGCAATGCGGGGTTCGTAGCCGGGTGTGCTGTCGTTTGTTGTTGAGATTGTGTTTGTGCCTGTGCCTGTGCCTGTGCCTGTGTCTGTGGTGCAGATCTGTGAGAACGACTGCGATCGCCACCACGCCCTCTACCTCCGCGTCTGGACCTCGTGCGCGGGGCAGTGCTGTTGCTGTCTGCCACGAGGGCTGGAGAGTTCGACATCGTTGGCTCCAAGGTCCTTACAGAGGCGTTAAGTTCGGAAATTGCACGCGGAGAAAGCACGTCCATGCAACAGCACCAATCAAGGGCCGAGTACAAAATAGGGAAAGCGTAGATCAATCTGTCGTTGATAAGGAACTTGAGAAGCAGGAGATTACTGCCGCGAAAAGATCGAAGATGGGCTTCCGCTCGAGTGGAATGGAAATCTGTGAGCTGATCGATTCAAATATAGCTATAGAAGGAGACCGAAGGCGAGTTCAAATCAGGCAGGAGGGCGCCACTTAAAAACCAACAGAAACTGGTGGAACTCAAACAGTGATTTCGTTCCTGAAGTACGAACGAGTGAATGTGGTTCGGGTGGCGGCGGTTTGCCTCCGAGAGCTGGTCAGGACTCTTGTCGGAACTCTTCACACTTCCAATTACTTCACAACTTTCGCTACGAAGGAGTTACTATTCTTAATGGTTTGAACGCATGTACTCATGTATAATTCAAGGGCCTGGGAAGCTGTCAGGTCCAGATCACCCTGGCTTTTCCTGCAGCATGACTCATGCTGGTCTAGTGCTGCGCCTTCGACTCATCCTGCCAGTGAGATTACTCATAGCGGGTCATCCCTCATGGTGCTGAGCTCAACTCACTCAAGGGACAATTGGAGCGAACACTGACTACAGGGGGTATCTAACACCGCCCGATAAAAAAAAGTTGTCTTCATTAGGTATAGGGCTAAATTGCTCTTGGAACACAGGCGGATCCTCAACACATGTTTAGTTGAGACATAAGATCCTGAAAATAAACGCGAAGACAGCCAGCCAGAAAAAGCATCCGAAACACCACTCTAATACAACGTAAGGGGGAAATCAAAGAACAATAAACTGAGCAAGAAAAGGCAAAAATCGAAGGCATCCCGAGCAATCAATCGTAGGCTCGGGACCGGTGCTGAACACATATGATATCATCACAGAAACAACAAACACGCCGATAATTGAGATAAGGAGATGCACAACTGCTGAGAAATTGTTCACTAATCATGTCGTACGATCTCTTCCATGACAAAGGAATGAATGTGTTCGAAATACCCCGGCTCAGCGACACTATCATTGTGTCCACCGTTGGGAAGAGTACGCCAGACTTTACGGCTGGACTTGCAGACAGCGAAAAGCTGCGTCATGTTGGACGGTCTATTTAGGTAGTTTGTTAGCTTTCGGGAGCTGTGGAAGAAAGGCAGTTGACACTTACGGTACAATCTCATCCTTCAGCCCGCTGAGGAAGAGAATAGGCACCTTCGTGATTTTAGGCAATACCTCTTCGCTAGTCCAGTATTGATGGCATAAACGAGCGAGATATCGTGCGGGTGGAAAGACTCTAAGAAAAGTCAGAAAATCGCCCTCGACCTGTAGGTAATAAGTGTGCGGTGGGTCAAGCCGAACATACGTGGGAATCAATTTGCGAATGCTCAGGAAGGTATTTTCGAGGATCATGCCAGCGATTGCACCCTTGTCTTGGTTCTTAGCCACAAGGTCAATCGCGACCGCTCCGCCCAGGCTCTGTCCATATACAACGATCTGGCTATCCTTGGTCTCGGCCCTTTGTCGCAGATAATCCAAGCCGGTTTGCGCATCAACCTTTAATCCTGCCTCATCTGGAGTACCAGTCGAAAGGCCGTAGCCGCGATACTCCAACATCAACACATTGCAACCAAGAATTTCCTGAAGTATCTTGGCGATGGGGATGCGATGGCCGATATTACCCGCGTTCCCATGAAACATCAACACTGTAAGGTCTTGAGCGATGCGTTTCCGTGTAGGGCGAATGAAGAGGGCATGTAGTGTTTCCCCGTCCGGGGTCGGAAGATGGAGCTCTTCGTAATCTGTGATGCCGAATTGCTGTGGCTTGGGGACAAGGGTCCGGGCGTCGACAGGGACATTTCGAGGATAGATCAGCTCACTGCGCACGGGGTTAGATCTCAGGCACCGCTGTCATCATAGCCAGGCGCAAATGCGGGTCACTGCTTACTTTTGCTTGAAGTACAACAGACCACTGGCCACCACGGCGAGACCAGAGGAGGCCAAAACTGGCAGGCGCAGAAACTGAACGGCACTATTGGCCATGCTGGCGATAGTCCACGAGGGTGGAGGCGGCGACTCAGACATGCTAGCGAACGGAATAGTATAGCCGATGCGACAAAGCGGCGTTGCGAGTTGGGACTGGATCAAGCAAGTGAAGCTATCAAAGACCCCTAGACAAAGAAGTCGAATATAAACGGCAAGGATGATAATGCGAGTGAGCTTCGCAGGCGGCCAGATACTGGTCTAGCGGAAATTAAAGCGTCGGTTCGTTTCATCGGAAGTGATGGCTGGAGGGGGGAGTCAGTTTAGGAGACCTGCGGGGGATGGGGAGCTGTCCAGTAGGAAAGATACGCTGTCTCACCGCCCGGCGGAACCAGCTCCAGTTGCTGGCAACGTAACGCGCTCGCCTGCCTTGAGAGCTCCGTCAGAGCTTATATCCATCAACTCCTTCAGCCAGATACTTCTTGAATGCAATCATCATAAATTTTCATATCTTCGATTTTCCTCCATAGAAACCGTTCTTTGGCACACAGTGCATATACATACCCTTACCTATTCCCCACCCCCCCAATCTCGTCAGTCAGTATGGTCGGTCACGGCATGACGGGGATGCTCGGTGAAGGTCAGTGGTAACCTCATCTACTGGACGTCATGCCAAAGCTCACGGCTCTCATAGATGGTATTCATGTCGATATGAACCACCTGAAGAAGGGTGAAGTTAAGTGAGTTTATGGATTCAAGAACTCGTGTGAGTCAGTTAACTGATATACCATGCTTGTCCAGCCTCGGAACGTCAATGTGAGTGAGACTTTCCCTACATTATTACGACATCCTGTTAACCGACATCAGTATGGCAATCAACTTCAAGGACGGTGTTATATTGGGTGCCGACAGCCGAACGACCACTGGAGCTTACATCGCCAACCGGGTTACCGACAAACTGACACAGGTGCATGACACGATTTGGTGCTGCCGCTCGGGGTCGGCCGCTGACACACAGGCTGTGGCTGATATTGTATCCTACCATCTCAACATGTACTCGATCACAAACAACGAGGCGCCCAGCACTCAGGTTGCCGCCGCACTGTTCCAGGAGCTGTGCTATGAGAACAAGGACATGCTAAGGCAAGTTCTTTGTGCCCCTCCGAGCCACGAGAATTGGTCTTTTATTGACTATGGCAATGTTTAGTGCTGGCATCATTATTGCTGGATATGATCCTCGGCACGGAGGACAAGTTTACTCGATACCTCTGGGCGGATCCCTCCACAAGCAATCGTACTCCATCGGCGGATCTGGTTCAACCTATATCTACGGCTACTGCGATGCAAACTGGAAGGAGAATATGACTGAGGAAGAAGGCGTCCAGTTTGTTCGGTCAGCTCTGCAGGAGGCGATCAAGTGGGATGGTAGCTCTGGCGGTGTGATCCGGATGGTGGTTTTGACGGCCAAGGGCGCTCAGCGACATCTCTACCTGCCGGACACGGGTTACACTGGCCCAGGTGTTACCAACTAATGAGTGTATCCGTTTGGAGTGATGATTCATATCGTTGTTAGCTGTCGATCAACATGACCTTTCCTTCTCCCTGGCACTGAAGATAGCCTCATTCTAGGCAAGAGTTCGCCGCCAATGTAAGCGGTAAATCAGCCTGCTTCTGGACCATCAGGACAAGGCGTGGTCTCGTCAACCGAGAGTCAGGAAGAAGGACTATTCACAAACCACGGTCATATCTTCTAGCAAGTTGCGCGGTGCTTGCTCATCATATGCGTGTCTTGGCTTGGGATTTGACCTCACCAAATGCTCGTCAGCTCGAATCGAGCTCCTATCGGAGGTTGGCTGCTTGCCATGACTGAGGATATTGACCTGACTATAATTGTCACTCGGATCCGGCGGTCAGGGGCTGTCACTTTCAAAGTACCACCTCGTCTTAGGCTTCCTTAGAAGAAAGGCAAGTCTAAATAGGTAAGCCTGCAGTGGTGTAGGTAGTAGATATCTCGTAGCTCGTACTGCTGCGGCTATATCAGACCGGAGATTACTCCACTAAAGTATCAGTATCAGTAGTAGAGGTCGAGGATGTGACCGGTCGAAGGGCCTCGCGGGTTTCCTGGGACGAGCACCAATCAGTCAGCGATGATGAACACCTGCGCCTCTGCAGAGCCGCGATTCGCCCATCCCCCCTCAGACGGAGGATGATCCCAACTGCCACTATCCTTTCCGGTTTTTCTGGGCGCACTCGTCTGTACGTATACTCCGTAGTACCTACGGAGTACGGAGCACCTTGATACTAGATACTATTGATACTGGAGCCTGGAGGTGAAGATGTTCTGATGCAGGCTCAACCCGTCGTATGGAATAGGAGCATGGACAAGAACGGCTGAATGACCCGGATATAGTCCAATGCGGAAACATCTCGATGCGAGGACTGGTAACTTCTCGGAATTGAGTCGTCCGTAGTATGTATTAGGTAGAATGTTTGACTGGTGATCGGAGAAGAAAGGAGAGAAAGATAAAAAAGAGAGAGTGAGCGACCTCCCAATTGACGGATCATTTCAGTCTCATGATTGTAATCCAGTCCGTTCCGTCTCAACCCTGTCCAATGTTTCTTGTTTCTTTTTTTTTCTTCCTAACTTATTTCTTTGTCCATTCCCTAGCTACCTACCTCTTGATTTTTTGCATTTTATTTTATTTTATGTTTGCTTTCTTCTCTGTCACTCGTAAGTTAGCATCCATTTATCTCATTCGGGACCTCAGCTGCCTTGATTTTGGAGAGGGAATTCTTGGTCCTCGGCTTGATCGATCCATCTACTTGCTACTTTGGTTACTGCATTCGGGGAAGGGAACCTCTCCTCCCCCGTGGAATAAATCAGAACTCCACCCTTGGGTCGGTCTGGGTCTTGCTGGGTGGTAGAGGGAGTGCTGCTGAGTGGCTCTGGATCTCGTCGTGGTGGACCCCAGCCTTTCTGCCCGGGTTTCTTGTTCCCTTCCTCCTTGCTGGTGCTGCTGGTGCTGCTGGTGCTACTGCTGCTACTGCTGCTGTTACGGCTGCGGCTGCATCATCAACATCATCATCCCATTCTCCATTCCATTCTCCTCTCCTCTCCTCTCCTCTCTCCTACCATCCATCCTATTTTCTATTTCCCCAATTGCCAATCGCCATACTTCCTACCTATCCATTCATCCATTCACTTTTCTTCGCCACCCGTTCTCCTCTCTTCTTTATTTTTTTTATCCAACCTTCATCCCCTTTCAATTCATTTTGTCATCTCCCATCGCAATGGACATGTTTTCCACCGCCGTCAATTGCCTGTGATTCCTTATCCGCTCCAGGCTTGGGTCGGGTTTATCGCGCATTCTCAGTGCTCTGACCCTCACTCGCCGCATCTCCAGATCCAGACCCTCTCTGTCTGCGCCTGCGCCTTCTTCTCCTTCTCCTCTCGCTGCGCTCCCCCTCCCCCTTCGCTCATTGAACGATCTAAAGTAATCAACCCATCAATCAATCGCTGGATCTCGTACTTCTCCCTCTCTCTTTACTTGCTAGATTCCCCCTCTCTCCTCCTACCATCTTCTACTTACTTTCTTCAATCTGATCTCAAATTTCTCCTATGATTTATTCTGGCCTTTCCTTGGTCTTCAATGACCCTACTGTCGTCTTCAGTCGCTAACCGTTGCTCGCCGGCCTGGGCTCTCTCTCTAGTTGCAATATTTCAACCCCGACCACTGTCCGCCCTTCCATAAATTACCCTCACTTCTGTTTAAACCTGACATGGGATCCGTTATCGTAAATCATCCGCGATCGGATCATCTTGATACATCCTCCTACAACATGCTGGGGGGCGCCATACCTACTTCGGAATCTGGCTATCGATCCTCGTCGCAGACCCAAGCCTCGTTCCAACAACCCTCGTCATGTCTGGAGACCGGCGGCGGCTCTAGGTCGGCATCGTCTAATACCACCCCCACCTCGTCCACAGCCCCGCCGTCAACATCCGCCTCAGCTCGCCTCCCCTCCCACCAAACCACCCAGGATGTTCCGCCTTATATCTATCACCCTTCCGACTCGAATTCTTACCCCTCATCGCGGGCGTCATCAACCATCTCGGGTATAACAAGCGCCCACCCGAACTCAGCATCAATGACCACAACCACGAGCGACAGCCATCCATCTCGCTTCGATAATCACACCCATGCCGCGCCTCACACGTATGCCCCTCATGTCAGCGCCAGCCATGCACACGCGACCGCAGCATCTACGCAACACAACCGAAGTCATTCATCCCCCGCGTCACCGCAGTTGAGGCCGACTCATCAGTCCCTGCGCTCATTAGGTGGCTCGGAGGCAAGCTCGCCCAGTCGCATCAAGGTCCGCGATCTGTCCCATATACAAAGCTTTGCGAGCGAGGAAATGTTGGCACAAAGAGATCGGATGACGGGACAGTGGGGTCCTCAAGAGCGCCAGTACGAAATCAGTTCCATGCCGGTCACGGACATCATCGAGATGGTAGCTGGACTCTTGACGAAGATAACAACGACCAACGACATGCACCATGAGCATATCCATCGCCACATACCACCCCCCGACGGGACCTCAAACCTCACTCCACAGGCCGCCAGTGTTCTTGCCTTTCATGGCAAGAACGTACCTAGCATCAGCATTCTCAGCTATTTGACGAGAATTCACAAATATTGTCCCACCACTTATGAAGTCTTCCTCAGTCTTCTGGTGTATTTTGATCGCATGACGGAGCTCGTCAACCGGTCGCAACTTGAGCGATTACGGCGTCGCCAGGCCCGATCGGCTTCCATGCTGAGGACTGATGGCAATCAACCCCAGTCGCTCCGATCGTCAAATGTACAGGCGACAGGTGCCTCTCCACTGGCCACTCCACCATCTTCTGCCAGCTTCGCCGCCCAAGAAGACCCGTCCACTCCGTCATCCATGTCTCCATCTCTGGACGCCGAGGACGAGGAAGAGGCGCTTTCTCACTTTTTTATCGTCGATAGCTTCAACATTCATCGGCTGGTCATCGCAGGCGTGACTTGTGCCAGTAAATTCTTCTCCGATGTTTTCTATACCAACTCACGATATGCAAAGGTACTTATTTTCGTCTTCTTCGCTCCTAATCCAATTATCTACATAGCGGAACTGACACCAATGCTGCATGCAGGTTGGAGGATTACCGTTGGTTGAACTTAACCACCTTGAGCTCCAATTCCTTCTTTTGAACGACTTTCGTCTTTCGATTCCTGTGGAAGAGCTTGAAGCCTATGGCACAATGCTGGTAGAGTTTTATGCTCGAGAGATCGTCTCTCAGCAACAACAGCAGCAGCAGCAGCAGTCGCAGTCGGGCATCCCTCGTTCAATCCACGCTCCTCCCGCAGTGGACTCTCAGTCCGATGGGATGTACATGCGCACCCGGGAGAAGCACCGACCTGACCAGCCGGAGGTTCGCCAAACCCCTACTCCACCCTAGATGGTCTACACAATGGGCCACGCGGGGCTTCCTTTCGCTCTTGGATCGACGATCCACACTGTTCTCCTTCGACAGGTGAACGATTTTCCCACTATCGCTTGGCTTCATGTGCGGGTGTATGTATCGACTGCTGGTTTACTATACCTCATCATTGGCGTCGCATATCCCCTTTGGTACATATATCCTAGTCCTGTCTTAATCACGCATATTCCCGGCAGAACGATGATCGCAATCTATCTATAGACTTTCCATTGCGGCCGGCACGTTCGATCGTCGCTGGATTGCTCGGGTGGCTTGTCTTTTTATGTCTACTGTGTATACAATTGCTTGTTTCCCCAGAGTATTTCGCCTAATCTGGTTTTGTCATTGGGTCGGCGTTCGTGGTCTGTATTCTTGTCTTGTTGTCTTGTATGGGTGAAACCAATCTCAAGCATTGCAGCCTTCTTTTAAGTGTTCTTGATAGAACAAGTGTATCAGTGTTGTCCATCGAATCCGGCTATTTATTGCGTGCCTTAACAAGTATTTCTGCTTATCTTGCCCATCTTGCTCATCTTTCCACCAACCGAGGTACTTCCATTGAACACCCATCAATATCGTGTGCCTAGCATTAATTATGTTATGACTTCTAAGCTAACTCCCCTTCCTTTCCCCTTTTGCCACAGCCGTCGCCGCTCTTCCCCACCGGAATGATATCAACCGTATGCGAGATAGTGCCACCTCCGCCCACCACTACCATAGAAGCTTATTCACCCAACCTTCAACCAACTCTCAGAAAACGAATATATACACCCGCGACTTCCCGCTCGAGCTACGAATAGTACTCCCTTCGCCTCTCAGAGCGTGTATTACAAACACATACTGTGCAAGTTATGAGCATACTAGTGCACAGATAGATGATCCGATTACATCATCCTCCCGCCGATCACCCAGTCCAAGTGGGTACGGTTGAATGAGACTATTTACATAGTTGCCATCGTTACGTTATACTCCTGTTCCTCATACTTGTACCGAGTACAGTGTTGAGTACATGCTTTCCTCTCCACACTAGCTAGCCACATCGAGTAAGGCCTCTGACGACCAGCTACTCATACTCTAGTAGTACTTCCAGGATAAGGGGCCAGCAAGCGTGGAGTTCCAGAAACCTTGGAAACCTTGCAAACCCCGCGAAAAAGGCAAACCGGTTTGTACAGGACCTGGACCTAGGGACACGCTTTTCTTCCACGTACTACTATGTACGTAGATTACTCCATCCGTTGGCAGTACACACTTGGCCTCCTTTCTATGTGTAAAATACTCGGTATTTTGAATGCACCTCCCCCCCTAATGACGACGATCGCCGATTCTCCCAACAGTCCATGACATGGGGAAAGGTGAGGTTTAGACTCCTATGTATAGTTGTTCAAGGCGACGACTATTACGATCTAGAAGGCTGATCCTCCTCCTCCTCCTTATTCGTATTGAGTGTTGGAAGACAAATCTAAATACGGATGTTGTTATAGCTCCCTCCCTCTCTCTCGGACCTCAGATCATGTATACCATAAACATACCTTACAGGACAAGTCTCTCTTGGTTTATTCTTCCCATACAGTCCCCCCCATCCTCTTATCATTTCCACCGAACAAGAGAGTCGGAGAGAAGAGGCGAGGAATCCCCCGAGGACGACGATCAAAGTAACCTTATTTATACGAAACGTGCTATTGATGTCACTTCTGATCGCCGTCCCATTCAACCACCCATATTCTTTGCCGTGTCCGTGCTGATGTACATAGTACTCGTACTACAGCTATTCTATTGTCTGCCAGAGTGTTTATTCACCATCAAAAACCTGGAACCACCGCCGGTACCTTCCCATCCTACTCCACTGTAGGACAATCCTTTTGTCTTCAAGACTACCCAACTCAGTGGGTTTCATTCTCTCATGCTATGCACCATGCTTCGTCTCCGTCGATATAGCTAGCGCCTTGTATTCATCGGCTACCATGATATTGAGAATCATTACACTACGAAGTAGTTGTAAAAACTCAGCGAGCTCGAGGGTAAAAGTGATTTTGATAAGTCACCGTGCCATGGGTAACTTACATTCGGCGCAACCTGGACGAGACAATCCAGCGAGTCACCGAGAATCCCCAGGCCCGACATCAGAAAACCAAAGGAGGTCAACCCCCCCCCCCCCCCCACCCCCGAGGGCCGTTGTTATACTTGGGAAAATGACAGGAAAAATCCTCCCCAACCCACCGCGTGCCTCGTGCACAGACCTCGGCGGGTCAATGTCAATCTGCCAAGCATTCCGTTGGTATATGCAAGTGACTCGCTCCGTATGTGGTAAATTAATTCAATCGACACCTACCTGCTTGTTTCCATCGATCTTCAGCCCCTTGAGTGCGAATACTCGTCGTCAAGCCGGGTACAGGAGTAGAAGCAGTAGAAGCAGTAGGACCAGAAGCGGGTTCTATACCACCAAGTCTTAAGAGCATCTACTGTACATTCGGCTGAAAGGCTAGGAGGTACTGTGCATGGGATGGGTTAGTCCTCCAATCATACACCATCAGAGACACGAAGCACAGACAAGGCCAAGCCAACCGTGATATCTCATTTCATATGCATTTCAGATAGCTTATTAGTCTGGCTCGAGAGAACAGAGGTATCATGTCATTGCTGAACAAACACAGAATGAAAAGCCAAAGATGATCATGTTAAGAACGCTCATCTAGCCAGCCAGCCAGCCAGCCAGCCATGCTCAGCGTCTTTTATCCATCCCATCTAAGCAACCGACGGCCATGGGTTTGTAGGATTTTAGACCCTCCTCTGCCAGAGGGTAGCGGTGCGTAATGATGAACTAACAATGTAGTGAAGTCGGGATGGAGAGGAGGGACGGGTTGTAAAAACATTAACTGTCCCTCTCCGTCCCTTATTAATATGAGTCCTCCCAACAGCTCCACGCCGTCCCTTCAATTCATATAGAAATAACACCCATCACTCGATCCTGGGCGGACTTGTCGACCTATGACCCATTGGACTCATACTCGCCCTATTCACTATTCATTAGCAACCACACGTAAGAACAATGCACCGAAACCAAGGGAAACATACGATCTTCGCCTCTCCCCCTCCTTCCTGAACCCCTCAATGATCCGCGCGATTTCTTTCCGGCCGGATCTCGCATCCACCTTTCTTCCGCCTAGACTCAAACTGACCTTCTCGTTCGTATTCGCTGTCAATAATCGCTTCAACAAGAGATACCGCATGCTCAAGCAGACGAACACCCCACAGTCACTCCCGTTCTCCTGAACGGGCGAGTCTTCCAAATGGACATATCGGATATTCCGATTCAACAAGTTTCCTAACTTCATCGTCACAGCCTGCGCCTCCCAGAAGTTTCCAGGCGGCAGGGAATCATAATGGAAAGCGAGGCCGTCAACGATCGACACGAGCAGCAATGACCAGTGTGTGCCGCCCTCGGCTTCGGTGACGTTACGACAATCATTGATCGGCAGGAAAACATGCGTAGTACGGGAAAAGTCCGGTAGGGCCTCGCGGAGAGTTCGAGGGTCTGGAGTCTGGAGAATCATAAAGGACATGCTGGGGCGCAGAAGAACGATATTGGCGGATTTGGAATGGGAGAGGAATTCCCGCTCGAGATATCTGGCGCATGTCATCAGTCCTTGATTCGGAGAGAGAAGAGGATCTGGGGCTAACACACTCTTCCCAGAAAGAGATTACCTAGGCAGGTAGGTATATCATGTCAGCTCTGATACCAGCTACGACCAATGTGCATGAATGACCAACAACATGATATCAACGAACATTATCTGTGAGCCAGTCATCTTTTAAAGATTGCATGTCTCCTCTGGTTACTAGAATTCTGGTCAGAATCTCTCCGGATTTTGCGAGGAACGAAGGCAACATACATCGAATATCATGATCTATTCATGAACAAGCCCAATTAGTTGGATTCTTAACACCACGACCGATTATTCACCAGAAGAACCCGTAGCATGAACTCACAGCTTAGGTACGCGTCATCAGGGTTTAACTGCAGTTGGGGAGTCATCTCGATTAGCCAGATGTCTGACACGGAGTATGACCGTAGCCCAGGAAACTCACAGTATCACCGAATCGTTTCATCCTCTTCACCAGTTTGCCTCCTAGGCCACCGTCCCGCATCTTGAGACTTGGTCACTAGATCCGATCTCGCAGTGTCGTTGCGGATGCAGTAGACAAAGCTCCGTCGCAACCCCCGCCTCCGTCCACGCTTGGATTTGGCGACAGGAAAAATGGAATGCCACGCAGCACGTATGCTATGGTGGCTCAAGCTCGAGTATAAGCTGCCCAATTGTGTGAGGGGGTTGTGCTTTGGTTTTGCTGCAGATGCAGGTCAACGGCGATGCGCACGGGTGGGTCTGGAGATGAGGTGTAGGTTGTTTGAGGTGCAGTTATCAGTATACTGTGGTAGTTAATCCTGATAGTCGTCAAATAAGTGCGAGTCTAATTATAACAATCGCGCTCTCTCTAGTGGTTTCGATTTGGTTTCATAGGCGGCAGGCTAAGGCGGCGGAAGACGCAGAAGGAATCGAAGGTTGAACAGCTTAATCGGACTTCGGCGAAAGTGGGCTCTAGTTTTCATGCACAGTAGGCGAATGTGGGGGGTAGAAAAATATAAGGTCGAATTAAGCTACAGACTGAGAACCATAAGGCGGGAAATGAAGGTCCCACAGGCAAGAAGGAAGGATTTAACGAGAGAATCGACCCGACTTCATTAGCGATAGAGAAGAAGGGAGGGAGGGGCCTGTTGTTATCCTCGGCAAATTCCAGCAAGGAGATCTCTCATCAGCCACACCGCTACGCCATGCACGTCACTCCTCGGTGGCTGAGCATCCACCCCCCAAGAATAAGCAGATACAAGATGAATGCGAAGCCGCCCAAGTGGCTGAGGCTTCGTATTAGGTTCTAAGGGTTTAATAGAAATAAATACATTCAAGTCGTATATTTGTGTACTTAGCATTAGTTTGGGATAGTACAGACAGTACTAGACTACATACTTCACTTGCAAGATCGCATCAACAATAAACAATATCTCTTCGTCTTAATCGAGGGGGTATCTAAACAAATACATCTTCAAAGGCATGCATGCAAGCTCTTTGAGCAGAAGCAACACCAATCTTTAACAGAAATGACCGTCTGCAAATCTCCCCCATGGCATGAACTTCACCAACCATCCACCCCACAACCTTTTCATCCAGTCATAACAAGCGCCCAAGCATAATTTCAGACCAGAGAAAGCAGAAAATACTTGCCAACATGAAAGCCCCGCCCAACGCGCTGAGCTCAAAAACAATGAGGGAATATAAGGACAGGTAAGAGGAAATCAATAGTATAAACAATGTCGTACTGTCAAAGGTATCACCATGTAAGATCATAGATGTGTATGACATGCGGAGGCATGAGATTGTAGATTTGGATGAGTCGTCGCCCGGGGAAGAGCCGCACCAAGACATGGTTCCTTAGGCTTGTAACACTTGTAACCGGAGTGAACTTGCAGAACGAGTGCTCTAGTTCGTTAGCTTCGCAAAGTGTTTATTCCAGATCCAGCCGACCTGACGCTCGGGATCATCTTGGTTCTTAGCCAGCCACAGTTCGCCTTTCTCAGCAATGACATCAAAGATCTCGCCTACAACGTATGTCAGATATGGGTAACCAGCTTCTCTTCGAGCGCGATCAATATTGAATTCGTATATACTGGCTGCGAGAAAAAGGACTGCTGGCTCTTTCGGGGGCTCGTGATCCATTGGTGTGTTCTCTTGTGGATTATCCGACATCGGCATCGCTGAGGAGAAGAAGTTCGAGTACTGGCCACTCGACGACGCATGTTGTTCATCAGGCCTAGTCTCTGTTTGGGAGGGACCAATGACATCGACTAAGAATGGGGAGTCGAGGCTCAATCTGGGCAGGCTCGGGAATGACTCAGTATTAGAGCCGGATGCTGCAAGCGACCCTGTTGATGCGCTGGTGACTTGCTGAAGCACTTGGCTTCTAGGAATTTCAGCGGATTCATGGGCACGGCCGGAGAATGTCGAGTCTGCCCTACGTCGCCCCAAAGACACTTGAGATTGGCTGTCGATGCTGGGCGACTGGAAAGGATAGCCGCCGATACTGAATTCCTGAGACGCTTTGGGCGATTCTTCAACCGTCGAGCCCATCCGCGTGCTGACACTGTTCACCGTGGAAGGTCGTCGAGGCGAGCTGATAGTTGCCCCACTCGAAGGCGTGTTGAAGTTGACAAGATTCATGGTGTCGGCGAGCAAGGATCCATTGCAGCTTCCAAGCGAGAGCACCTGCCCTTCAGCATAGTTGAACTTGGAGGACCAATTCTCAACGATCTTTTGAATGTCCTCTGGAAATTCCTCGAATAAGGGTCCAAGATTTCTTTGCAACTGATGAAACCAGGTGGTTTGAATCTGCACAAAGTTCTTCAGACACGCCTCCATCAATTTGGCAGTGAGAGCATAGAGCTTCGGAAGCTCATCCTTGAGGGTTTCATTGAGGGCAATGAATTGTTCCCCTTGTTCCGTCGTCTTCTTGTCAGGCTTGTCCCCTCGGTCCTTTATGCTCTTGAAACGAACATAGTCCATTAGTCGCTTGTCGCGCTTCTTCATCACTCTCTGGGGGCCATCGTGGAGCTTGAGTAGGGTGACCATCGGATCGATGACGCTTTTTCGGACCACCGCAAGCTGAATGATTGAATGGCCACCTGTTAGTAATGGAGATCGACAGGTTCAACTCTTTCTAAGCATGATGTTGCACTTACATGGTCGGGTAAAGCCACCGTCATGATGGCCTGAACAGAGACTTTAAGCTCCCGCCATTTCCCTTCCAGCTCGGCATAATTCGACTGCGCGACATCGACAAATCCTTCGATCGCAGCGACAAATTCGTTGAAACAATCCATTGAACTCTGGACCTCTTTTGTGTATGATTCTGCATCACGCATGACGAGCTGCAGCTGGAAAAAGTTATCTCCAAACTTCTGGGATAGGCTGTCGTATTCTTTATCTTCGAACAAGTCGATGAGTCCTACTTGCTGCTTCAGCTTCTCGGTGCGTCTGCCAAAAGCCTTGGACAAGCCGGTCCGAACATCAGACTCCTTGCGTTTACGTCCGACTACCTGACCCACAAGATCCGCACGCTTTTTCATTTCATTGATTCTGACAGAGATATTGGTAACCTCCTCAAAAGCAGTAATGAGAGCTGTCCGGTCAGGATGATCATTGGGTGTCGAGTCGAGAAGTTCAGACAGTAATAGAGGATACTTCAAAATCCTCTGTACGGGCTTCACCAGTAAGGAGTCCAAATCCCATGCAGTTGTGAGATCGGAAGCCCAATCACGACACTCCTTGAGCCAGATCGCCACTTTCGGGTTTCGCTGCAGAGTTTGGAGCTTTCTATTAGCAGCGTCGTGATTCTTGAGATAATCCGCATAAACCTTTTCCATGCAGCCAATGTGTGCCACAAAAGCCTGTCCAATGAATGTCATTTGGTCCTTCTCATGGTCCGAGAGGCCCATGTTGTCTGATTTGTCTTCGTTCCTTGAAGCTTGGCGATGTCGCGCACTGCGCTTGCTGCTCCATCTTTGCGACTTTGGCATTACATAGACACTTTTCGCGGCTTCTTTCAGGGCGTCTTGGAAAGCCATAGAAAACTGAACGACTTGGTCGGAATTTGCGAAGAGAACTTTGACGTCTTCGGAAGAGAGGTCCAAACATGAACTCGAGGTTCCCTTATATATATCGTCAACAACTTTCATATCCCGACCAAAGGTGTATTCAGTATCAATGAGCTCCTTGATTACGTTTCGTCTTTTCTTCAGCCGCCGTTGTTCGGGCGAAGGCGACTGGGGTTTGGACTGGAGATGCTCAGAGCTTGAATGTGCCAGTGATGTAGCAGAGGAGTGTAGCGTCTCCGGAGATAGCGTCGGTTCAAGCCGCTGCAGAGATGAATTTTCACTGCTCCCTGTGCTGTTTATAGGGTCCAAAGGAGAGAATATCCCATTGATATAGGTGCTGAAACGCTGGTTTGCGATGGTGGCGGCTGAATCATATTGAGTGGGTGGCTGCGCGATGTCGGTTGCCGTTCGCCTATGATCAAGGGTCGAGCTATGTTCATGGAAATGCGAGTCCTGAGGGACCTGGACGTTGACTGCCAGTTCGAGACGTCCTTCTGTCACTTCCTGCGATGGATCCCGGGCGCTTGACGTGTCCAGCCGCGGCGTGGACGCATTGTCTAGTCTAGACGCCGAATCGCTTCGTTCGCCTTGCGGAGTTGAACCATCCGCGGCAGCAACCTGCATCCAATCCATGATCGAAGGAGATGCATGCTCCCAGTCGTCCCGCATGACGAGACTGGCTGCGTATCTGGTCCGCTCAGAGGCAGGCATATCTGTGCTATGGGGGACCGAACTCGCGTCCTCAGACCCGTCGTCTCCCTTCGTATGAACGGCTAGCTGTTGGGGCTCCGGAGAAGCACGTATAGCCGGCAAGGGGAGACCAAGCCCTCGGCCGTTAGCGATCTCTTGGATGTAGAGCTGACTGACTCGCTTGGAGTCCCAGCCCCCGAGCCTGGCTAAGCTAGGGGCACTAGTCAGTGTATAAAGATTGGCTTGTGGCACAGCCTCTGTCTTCAAGTCGTGTGGTGATGTCTGTGTCAATGGATTCGCGGGTGGGTAACCAGTCTCAGACCGAGTACAGGACGACGCAGAACATGAATGAGGTGCAAACTCACTCCCATCAGCGGAATGGCGAGGTGGTTGGATGTCATCAACACTGCGCTCGCACTGTTCGTCTGTAGAATGCTGGTTGTGGAGGGATGATGACCAAGAACTAATACTCCATCGGTGGGACATCTCGTTGTCTGTTGTTTCATGTTGTGTATAGAGATCGCACGGCTCCTGATTTTCGCTGCTGTCCGTATGGTCATCGAAGCCCAGCGCACCCCGTAGCATGATGGGCACCGACTCTTTGTCGTCAGCCTCAGAGAGGCTACAATCTTGTTCATCACATGATGAACTGCTGGAGCTCGACTCGCGTATGTGCATGATTTGAGTCAACAATGCTCGATGCGAAGCATGTTTATTTTGCATGAGGTCGACTTGTGGTTCTATGTCGAAAGCGGTGACATGTGTCTCATTGGATTCCGAGGTTGAAGCAGACACAGGAGCCGCGTGTGCATCGCAGTCACTCTCCAGCTCACCAGCAATAACAGGCTGGTGCCCTAATGTTGGAGAATCCATGGTTGTATGCGACTCAAAGGTTTCAGTTTGCTTCCCCTGCAAGACCACATGTGTATCGACATATAATTGGGGTATCGTCCGCGTTTCTTCGGGCTCTTGCTCCATATTC